GCATGTATATGTTTGTACAATTTAGGCTGTGCTAGTTTTAACCTTATCTTGCTTGCCTGGTTAATTCATGAATTAAATAAAATCTTTGGCACACATTTGTTTTATATTTATACGGTGGCCAAGGTTTTGTAAAATACTGGTCTTTCACATCAGCTTAGCATTTGTGAGGTGCCTGCATGCCTTCTCAGGTTCATTTCCTCAGCATGGCATGCTTGGCTGTCTTCACTGAGCTCAGGGATCAGGGATCCACAGGCCATGGGCCCAGTCTACATCAGCTCCAGGACCTTTGTCGTGCTCTCTGGTTCAGCCTGGGCTCCTGGTCTGGGTACACACAGTGTCCTGTGTATGTGTCTCTTATAGCAGGTGCCATCGGTGCTGTAATTGCTGACTCTCTCCTTGTGCCAGGGGTCTGTAGTTGCTTGGCATGGGCTGCATACAGTTTACCCTGCAGGGTCTTTGAGAATGGTCACTTCAGAGTTGTTCCATGAATGCCTCTTTCATTTTTTGCTAAGCAACAAGGCATGTGTATATCAGTGTGTTCTGAATAAGCACTTAATAAGGAGATATCGAACCTATTTTTAAGATAAAAATCACCAAAGATATTTAATTCTCCAGTGATCAAATGATGTAGCCAGGACACAGTGGGTGTAGAAGCATTGATGCCCGCCTGCTGAGGCATACCAAGTGTCTCTCTGAGAAGGTAGAGTCTTCCTGGTGGGGGCAGGTTTGCAAGCCTTAGGAAGCCTGGGTAGTTGCACCTAAGGCACCAGCTTGGACCAGAAGAGGCAAGTTGCACAACTTCCAGGAGTGCCTGTGACACTGTCTCTCAACCTTCCACGGGTTTCAAAGCCCCACCTGCTTCTCTATGTCGCCACTGATTCTGAGGTTTTCCTGCTTTTATCCCTTATGCCCTATCAAGGAACCTTCTTTCCCCTTCCTCTGTGCCATCTTGTATCAATCAGTTTTCTTGAGCTAAACACTGCCCAGAGTGCAATTCTGTTTTTTTGTGGTTGCTATGAATTTTCACTCCCAGAGACCAGATTTGATGAGAAAAGCCAAGGTCATGTTCAAAAATCAATACAGAATTTCGTTTATTAGACTAGCATAAAAAATGAGAATATCAAGATTTGCCACGACCTCTTAAGCACTTTTTTATGCAGTTAAAAGCACTACAGTGCATCAAGTACCTCTATATTATATATAAAATTCTACCTGAATCTGTTACTTATCTTCCCTGATCTTCAGATATGACTTTCAAGCTGTGAGAACTGCTACAAAATTTGTTATCACTTGGATGCTCTAGAAATTCTCTAGTCCCAAGCCTAAGAACTTGATACCACCTCCACCTACCACAGACCTGAGCACAAATTTCACTTCGTCCAAGGCTGTGTGTTTCCTTTGCATAGCCTTTGGATTGAGGGTCTTCTGGCCTTTGGAAACAATGGAATTTCTTTTCATTTTAAAATATTAGTCTTTCACAATTGGACATATAGATTTACTCTCCTCCCACTCTGGATTTCAGACTTATATATCGTGGTGTCTAGATTTAAGGAGAAATTAATGTAAAGGGCATAGAGCCTGTATTTTTTGGGTCAGAAACATTTGGATTCACATGTTAGATCTCTTCTACAGCTGTGTGATTTTTGGAGAGAAAGATGGCTTTACCTCACAAGATTGCTAAGCATATTAGATGGGAATGATGTAGACTTTTCCCTGTGCAGGGCTTTCTGTATTTAATAGGCACTAAAAGCAAGTTGGTTAGTTTCTTGTTTCTCACTTCAGCACAGCAATTCTTTGCCAAGTAAAGAGGACTAAGTGCTGAATGTGCCTATAAAGCGGACAAACACCAAAAGGTTGTTTGAATTTGGGGGCAGAATGTGACAGCGTATAAAGTACTTTGCAAAGGATCACGTCTTACTCTCCTTGGGCTGCTGCAATGAAGCACCATAGCCTGATGGCTCACACAGCAGGCATTTGTTGTCATGCGGTTCTGGAGGCTGGAAGCCCCGGATCGATGCCAGCCAGTTAGGTTCCTGGTGAGCTGCTCTTTCTGCTTGTATAGGCTTCCTCTTTCTGTGTCCTCATATAGGGGTGCAGGAGAATGAGGAGGACAGGGAGAAAGAGAAGGGAGAGAGGGAAAGAGGGGGATCAGTGAGGGAGGGAGAAAGAGACCGATAGATAGAGGGAAAGAAAGTGAGAGAGGCAAAAGGACTGCAAGCTCGCTGCTGTCTTTTCTTCGTAAGGAGACTAAGCTTCACGTTTACAACCTCATTCGGCCTAAGCAACCCCCAAAAGGACTTACAGTCAAGTACAGTCACATCGGAGCTTTGGGTTTCAACCTACGAATGTGGGGGCAGTGTGACAAATGTCTCTCACTTATGTCCAACCTGTGGGCCACTTCTTCCCACTCCACTCTTTTTTTGAGTGAAAAAGGAGTTGTCTTGGGCAACATATAAAATACACAACATATTTAATGTACAACAGTAGCAAAAATTCCTTTATAATTTATATTTTTATTATAACAAAAAAGAAAAAAGTCATAGGTAGGCACAGCTAATTTTAGTTCATATAAATTATGTGATCATATTTGCACTTGGCATTTTATTTCAGATTTTACCCTGGAGATTTAAAATTGCATTAAGATTTATAAAAATTCTTCCCCGGTCTCTGCCTTTCTGGACTCGGCCAGGGAAGGGGACCAGAAGGCTATAACACCATCATTCAATGCTTCAGCATTTTCTCCAGCACCAGAGATGAATGAGTCTTCTCACAGGTCACAGTTTCCACAGCTCACTGCAATGATGTTCCTCAGTGGCCTCAGTTACCAGAATTGTTCTCTTGAGAGATGCAGAGAAGGAGGAGTTAAAAGAAACAAGAGACCTGAATTCTAGGTCTCTTCCCCACCAAACATGCTTCCCACAGTTGAGTCTATCAAGATGCAGGTTGCTCTGCTTTATTTTTATTGCTTATTCTGCTACCTCTTTATTTCTGCCCAGTTCAGTGAGTCTTGTTATGAACATTCATTTCATCATAGGCTTTTTTTGAAAAGGTGACACATGTCTGTTTTCTTGTACATAGTATTCAGCAGTATTGTAGAAAATTGTATCTTTTATGTTTAGGAGATTTGGATTGTTTTTCTAGAGAAGAAAACAGATCTGAAGGGGAACCTACAAATCAGCGAAGCAAAAATGAAAGATGGTATAAAACTCCTGTGGAGGGTTCGGGTCTCCCATCCATCAGTATGGCGTGTGGATGCAAAATAAAGACAAAGAGAGAAAGTTCTACAGTTGAGGAGTGCTGGGATGACCCAATGCTGTCTATAGAACAAAGGACCATGAGTCCAAAAGCTCATGGCTTTCATTGGTATCAGTTAGGAATGTGGGTGGGTGTCAGAGCAGAGTTCTAGGGAAGAGAAACTTTGAAGATACTGACTTCAAGGAGAAGCAGGGCAAGTGGCAGCCATGCAGACCATGGGAAGACAGACAAGAAGCCGACCCCTTCCTGTGAGTCAGCCAGCCAGCTCTAGAGCTGGGAGACAAGAAGAGCCAAGCCCCTCAACTCCTGTAAGCAACCAGCTGATCTGGAGAAACACAGGCTGGGATGATAGCTACTGAGGTAGGAACAAGTAACTTAATGCTTGTAGTGTTTAGCATTTGATTGACTTTGCAGGCCTAAAGCCAGTGGTCTGAGCATCTATTTGGAGGATAACTAAATGTTTATGACCCCCCTTCACATGCTAAATCTTAGCACTCAGCCTAATGGTAGTAGGAGGTGGGACCTTTGGAGGGATTCATGCCCTCTTAAAGGGGCCTTCATAGAATTCCCTTGCTCCCTCCACCACCTAAGGACACAGCACACACAATTCATCCATGAACCAAACATCAGCCCCTCACCAGATAGGGTCTGCTGGTGCCTTATCTTGGACTTCCATCCCCAGAACTATGACGAACACTTCTGTCATTAGCTGCACTGTCTATAGTACTCTGTTACAGCAGCCCAAATGGATTAGTATATGTACATTACAGAAGGGAAGACTCAGATAGTAGAAAACAACTCATGATTTAAATTTTGAACAATTAATTTCGAGATGTTAGCACTCATGTGAACAGAGAATTGGGAGCTAAGAGGCAGGATGCTGTTTAGGCCCAGAAGAGAATAATGATTGCGGTAAAGATGCTGAGAGGGAAAAATAAGACAGAGAGAAGAGGGATGGCATGGAGTGCTAGCCAGAGACACCAACAAGCCAGGCTTCAGGCTCCTGAGGTAGCCTTGAGCAGAGACGGGAATCAAGAAAGGACCACCGCTCTAAGCCAGGGCCAAGCTTCACCGCTCCTAACCACCCTGGTGCTGAAGTGGTGGAGATGGGACAGATACAGTTCTGGCCACGACTGTGCAGGTTTAGGGTTTGGAGTCATCTTGAGAATACAGATGCAGAAGTGAGACAGATGGAAATCACACTGATTCATTTTTAAGATGGGTTTGGGGATGGTGGGTTTGACCGGCAACCTTAACTGAGTCCCTAATTCCCACCACATCATCGCCCGCTTCTAACCTTGGGACAGTGGAGTCAGAGAGGTCTGAGTGTATCCTAGAGCCCACATCTTACAGCAGCATGGGAGGGAGATGGCCACCCATAGCCCTCTCTCAAGGAGGTAGGCTGGGGGTGGGGTGAGGAAGAAAGCAAGTAGGAAAGGAACCAGATGTGTGTTTTTAAAATCCAAAATCAACATTATTGAGATACAATTTATATACAAAAAAGTCATTTTAGGTATACAGTTTTATGATCCTGACAAGTGCACACCTCCTGTGACACCCCTCCTAACACCACCATAATCATGGAATGGACTACTCCGTCATCCCTAAAAGTTCCCTCCTGCTACGCTGCATACCCCAGCCTCTGATTTGCTTTCTCTCATCCTAGGTTTCTTTTGCTTTCTGGGAGAGCTATGTCAGTAGTTTATTCATTTTCATTACTGATCAATATTTCATCGGTATGAATACTGGTATATATACCAAAATTTATTTATCTGTACATTTATTGATGGGCATTTGCGTTTGTTTTTTGCTCTTATAAGAAGAGTCCAGTTTCTTCTTTTAAATCAGCAGATAAATCATGTGTCTTCCTAGAGTGGGAGAGGAGTGCGGCTGGCCAACAGGTTGAGCACCGCATATCTCATGTGCATCAGAATTACCCAGAGGGCTTTTAAGGCCCAGTTTCTGGTCCCTATCCACAGATTTCCTGTCGCTGCAGAGATTGGTTGGGTGGAGAATCTGTGTTTTCAACAAGTGATGCTGGTGCTGTGGTTCCAGGGGACACTGTTTGAGAACCATAGTCTTGCAGTGTGTCCTTGAGGACACAGGAGGACATGGAGGTGAGCTGCCGTGTCATGTGGTGCATTTGCACCACAAGCCTCATGTATACACAGCCCCAGTCATTTCCCAGGTGAAATGGTTTTGAGAACAGCTTTCCTGAAGTGTGATTTAATACTATATATCCATTTCTTTTCAGTAGAAAATTCAATGATAGCTTAGTAAAATTACCAAATTGTACAATCATCAGTGCAATTTAGCTGCAGAACATTTCCATCGCTGGAGTAAAATCCATCATATCAACTTACAGTATGAATCCTTGTTCCCACCCCAGGCAGTCACAGGCTACTCCGTCTTCAGGGCTTTGCCTTTTCTGACACTTCAGGTCCATGGAATGACACAATATGTGGTCTTTTTTTGTCTGGTTTCTTTAATTTGGCACAATACTCTTTAGGGGGTCTCTCATTGCAGTCCATCTTAATACTTTTTTTTTTTTGTCTTTTTCATTTTTATCGGTACCAGGGATTGAATTCACGACTGCCTGCTCGCCATATTAATACTTAAAAATCAATAAATAATATTTATGTAGATGCACCATTTAATTGTATGGATAAAAGCCACCTTTTGTTACTCTTCATCTTTTCATGGACATTGCGTTATTTTTTGGCCACTGTGATTAAATGCTTCTGTGAGTATTAAAGTAGAAGTCTTTGCATAGCTTTTGTTTCTCTTAGGTCTATACTTAGGAGCAGATTTGCTGGCTCCCATGGCAAATTCATATTTAACATTTAGAGAAACTGCCAAATTGTTTCCCAAAAAGTCTGCACCATGTTACATTTTCACCAGCAATATGGGGGGGGGTATTTTCTTTAGGTGTTTTTTAATGAGAGGAATACAAGAGAAACTGAGATCCACCTGGAGGGGTATATGCAGAAATGTACGGAAAACCTGGATACTGTGAGTACACATACAATAGTGTGGGAGCAAGGGTGTTCCTTTGTGCTGGTTTCCATCCTGATTCCACATCAGAATCATTTGGTAAGCTTTAAAAAGTCTTGATGTAGAAGCCACATCTCAGACAATAACAACAGAGATCCTTCAGGTATCACATGTTAGAACCTGTAGGTGATTCCAGTGTGTTAACTGAACACCTCTCAAGAAAAAGTAAAAAACTTTGTTGAGTCATCCACTGAGATAACACGCTACATACTTACAGATGAAGAAAGACATTGTCTATATAGAAAAACAGTGTGGCTGGAGAAATTTGATGGCTGAAGAAGGACAAAGGATGTACTGTCTGGCAGAGTAGCCTCTATGATTGTCCTCATATACTTCTGCTATTACGTTAACCTTTTTGACTATGAAGAGGAAGAGGGAAGAAGATAACTCAGTGGGGTGCAGAGGAGAGGGAATGAAATGCGTTAGAGCTCTGTCTGCTTCTGAGAGATTTGAGCTGTTTGAACGTCAGGGATGACCCAGGAAAACAAAAGCATGTGACGGCTAACAGTCCACCTAGGAGGAAAGCCTAGTTCTGGGCCAGAGGAAATAGGACGCCTCTGCTTCTCCAGGAGGCAGGGGCTAAAATGGAGCACACTGAGGCTGGCTAGCAGATGAGGGGCCCTCAGGTACGTTTCCCCTCCCATCTTGTCCCTTTTGTCCCCTCCCCTCCATGAACTGTGCTGTAAGGTCATTTTGTAGAAGGTGCTTTGTGCGGTAAGCAGGAAGAGAGGCCAAGGTTTAATGTTTGAGGAGAGTGGAGGATTTGAAAGTCCTTGTTGAGTGTGAGAGTGTAAATTCTCTGGAGAAAAATAGCAAGCCTACTGGGCCAGTTCGGAAAGTGAACTGTTGGGAGGTGTTTGTGCATTTCCAGTGATATGGAAAGTTCTGCTTCTTAGCTTCTATGCACAGGCAGGAGGCTTGATCCTGAGTTCCATAATACCTCTGCAGATAACTAGAAAAGACAAAGAGGTAAAGAAACTCTGCTGGAGAAGGGACAGAATAAAGGAATACACCGAGGGCTTGGGAGAAAGCCAAGGGAACAGTCGGGCTGGAGAGTGGTGGGCAGAGTGGGACACTGGGGTCACGTGATGACTGAGGAAGGGATGTCAAGGAACTAAGCCTGGGGGAGCCAGCAGGGCTGTCTACGTGAGCGAAGGCAAAACTCAGTGTCTTCATTTCCTACTGTTCATCTCTTTCCAATTTGCTGCCACCCTCTGTTGAAGCTTTTGCCAAGGTCTCGGATGACCTCCATGTTTTCAAGTCCCAGACATTTTCCACCCCTCATGTTGCTCCATTTCTCATTCTCACAATGGTCTCTTTCACTGGCTCCCAAGTCATCACACTGTCCTTGTGTCTCTGGGCCTGGAACTCCTGAGAATAGCTCCTGCTGGATGTTCTCATGTAGAGCCCCTCCTGTGCATTATATTTCAGGGTTTCCTAGTAAGGGGAGCCCTCAGCCCCTTGCCTATATTCTTCTTTCTTGGCAACCTCATCCAGGCCTCATGGCTTAACTCTTTAGAGTTTCTTGGGAGCTCTAAGCTCACACCTCCAATCCCTTCCAGTTGCTTCCGATTGCATGGCTTGAAGCTTTTGAAGTTTTCATCTGCTCATCTAATTTATATGTAACTTTACACCCCCCTGCAACCTGGTTATTTTCTAAGGTTCCCACCTCAGCACAGCTCGTGGGTAGTTAGGCAAGTCAGAAATCCAGGTGCTATCCCTCCTGACACCTTCTTTCCCCATCTCCCAGTGTGCCAGCCAACACTCTTGCCAGTTCTGTTCACTAGTATCTTCAGACTCCACTCTCTCCTTTCAGCCTCCTGCGCTATTACCTGGATCCAGCTTCTGATTGAAAGAGTACCTATCCAAAGTCACCATTCCAGGACATTACGCTCACAGTGCCGTGATCCTCACTTCCCTCAACACAAACTTTGCACGGCTCCTTAAATGCAGAAGCTTCATGGATACGCAGGCTAGGTAAGGCCTCTGTTCCAGGCCTGCTGGCCCCTTCAGCAGCTCTGCCTGGCCTGCTTCTCCCTATCCTTCTCTGTCCCTCACTTCTCCATGCATACTTCTTCAGGGCAACCTTCCTGCCTGCCACTTCTGGGCTGGGCTCTGTTGTCATTTGTGTTTCCAGGATAGTGGCCCTCCCCAGCTTTCTCTGGTTTAGTGTGGAACTACACATTCATCTAGGTGGTCCTTTGATCATGTCTGTTTCCCACATAGACATCAGGCCCCCCGGGGAGCAGGGCCCCCATCTGTTTTTGCACATCTCTTCCTCTGATAGCTAAAGATCTGGTTCTGATGGGTGCTTGGAATTTTGCTGTTGATACTAGAACCACTAGATTCAAGCACCAAAGTGTCCTAGAAATCATGTAGGAGTTGTCATTTTCTAGCAAGGAAACAGACACAGACAAGAGGGCTATCAGCGAGTTCACCTCTACACAGCCATGAGCTATGGCAGAACTGGAAGGTAGGTCCTCTCTCTCCAGAACGGTGACCTTTCCACCTCCACCTAGCAACTATTTGTTTAATACAGCTGTAATGGTATGCTCTGTCATCCTTTCAAGTGAAAAATAAGAGCCATCTGTGCTCAAACCATGCTACTTTTGATGCTCTACAATCATAAAACATCAGAACCATTGATATCCGGCAGAATAGCACACTTGAGGAAAAGGAGGAAAAGCTCCTTGGAGGGCCTACCATCCCTCCTTCCCTTGTCCCTGAGAGGGTTACTGAGAATTCAATCTACCTACAGGAAGAAGGCAGTGAAAAACTCTCAGGCTGTAGCTTTGTACCTGGAGCTGTGAACTTATCAGAGAAAGCTGCTGATCTCATCTCCCCTGTTGCAGCAGGCAATCATTTTTCTGCATCATGAGCTCTTAGTATGATTACTCTAAGTGACATGTACTGTTTTGAAAACTGGCTGCTTTTGGGAGCAAGCTTGTTTTTCTTGCTGAGTAAAGCTCAGGAGCCCTCTGGTGGTCACCTGTAGAAAAATCTCATGCGTTGGGTAAGAAATCTCAGTTCTTTGTCTCAGCAAGCCATTTCCAAAGCAGTCATTAAAAGTAAAGCAGGATCATTATAAACCCGAAGAAGACGATTTGTACCAGCAATGGACTCATGCTTTTTGTGGTCAGACTTACATTTTGCAAGTCCTTGTTGCTAAGCAGGGATGGACACGTGGACAGAGGCTGTGGTCTGTGAATCTGGAGAAGGGAGGGCCTGATTGGTCTCCAGAGCCACAGATGTGCCCTCCATGCAGAAAGACTAAGTGTTATGTAGTATGGTAACGGTTTTCATATATATTGTGTTATCCCAATGACTGTGTAGGGAGAGGAATTTAGCCAGCTGGCGTCATGGGTGCAAGGCTGGGACCAGGGGACCTGTGACTAAGAGGCAGGTGGTAAAGCATGCTAATTTTGGGCTATTTGCACAGATAGTTTTTGGACAAAGAGAAAAATGAGGGTGGAGAGGAAGAAGTGGATGTAATACCTGTAAATGTCCAAGCTTTTCATCAAGCGTGGTTAGGTACCCAACTTGCTTGTGGTTGAGGATGGCAAAGGCTGTATATGCAGAAGAGAAGATTCGAACTGACAGCAGGAATCAAGCATTGAGAAAGGAGGCAGTGCTGGATTTTTGGGGTATTTCCATAAAAGACTGGTAACATCTATTCCTGCTTTTCATTAATTTTTTGATATGTCCTTTTTTCTTATGTTTTAAAATTATGATTAGTTTTGTGCTTAATTTTCTCTGCATACGAAAGCTTCTCAAAAGCAAATATAAAATCTGTACTACCTTAAAACATTAGGAAATATACGTTTGAAAAAGTTAAAAATCACAAGGAGATCAAGACTGTTTAATAGTTACATTTTTGAAGGAAGTCCAGTCACATTTACCTGTACTATTACACATACCATTATTTGGATGTTCACACTCCACTAGGAACATGATAAATTACCAGAGAGAGAGACTTTTAAAACCACATTTAATTTTTAATACAAAATCTGTTGCATTATTTTAGAAGTGATTCCTTTCATGCACAGATAAATTTAGCGTCTGCCATTATGGAAGAGTAAAAACTATTTTTTTATTGTTCTCTCAAACATTGACAAATTTAAAGTAACTTATCTTTGTGCTCTTTGATGCCAAGACAAATCTGTCTTATTTTTTTGCATTTCCAAAGGACAGGTGGATTCCTGAAATGTGAACACGGAGACTTGGAGGCAGGTAGTGCCATCCTGACCTCAGATTACTTCAACTATGATTTACCTGCATATGTCAAAGACACCTGGTCACTAAACCTACTGTGCTCCATGGGCAAATCTCTGAGGATTTCAGCTAGAAACCTGCTGTCAGTGTGGAGAAACGTTCACTATTTCAGTTTCACAGCAAAAATGGGGAAAACACTCATCCATAAATGATTTACAATCCCACACACTGTATTAATTAGCTTACTTCTTGTACAGTACAACATAAACATTGCTTGCTATTTATTTGTAGGTAATACCTGTAAGCATATAGCATCATCTACACTTTAAGTATATTTACAAATTCAACAAAATATCTACATATAAAAGCTTTACTTAAAATTAAACTTGATGCAAGTTATGAGAAACCAATTTATTGGCAAATGAAACTGAGCATTCCTTCAACCATAGGTTGTTAAAGATTTTCATATTTGGAGGTTAACTATTTGGTAGCTGTATATATTTAAAATGGAGATACAACCCCTTTTGATTGTTGTTTTTTTAAGCACTTGTCGGATTCTGTAATGTGTCCAATGCAATTTTGTATACATTGCTTAGTGCTGCAGAGAACTGCAGAAGCTCATATAAGCCTTAGAATAATGTATTATGGTTGGCATGCTCTAGTATGCTTTTACTTTTAAATAACTTATTTGCTTTTTTATTAATTTTCTATCATGTTGCCATATTTCTTACTGAATGTGACTTGTTTGAAACTATAAAAGATCACAAAAATCAACATGGTGCCCCAGTTGATGATAAAGCTCTTCTTTTTATGTTTATGGGGAAATGCTCCTTAAAATGATGTCTTAACATTTTTATTTTTATATTTCTTTATTGTCAGTCTTGAAATTTTCATTAACTCTGCTTTCTAAAAGTTACTTTTTGACAATGACAGTAATGTAGGATGGAGTTGACCAAACCAGCTGCTAGAGAATGTGGTATGCTATGGAATGCTTAGTGTCTGAAGGCACTGCATATGTCTTGCCCTGTGTTTTCTGGAATAATTTCTGAAGTTTAACTTGGATGATTTGCTTTCAGTTCTTTCAGTATGGTACAAATGCCAAAATGCATTGCAATACACATTGTTTTTGCCTAAAAATAACTGAATATAGAGATAATGCAAAAAAGTAGAACACTGTGTGCTGTAATACTTGGAAGATTAAGAAGCCTATGAAGAAACAGGAGCAAAAAGCAGGTAACAGAGTCTCAGTAAGCATCAGCAAATGCAACTGCTATAGTTAACTCATTTAGCAAGAATATACTGTACACACTGTTCCTAACAGTCTCCCAAAAAGACTAACAACAGCTAGACAAAGAGTCACCAATTTCACAACAATGTCCACAAAGACATTGAAGGTCTAGAAAATACTACAATAACACTCTTGACAATGAAAACGGAATTCATATTTAGGGGTTCAGCCGAGGATAGTATAAACAAACTGTCAAACCATGTTTTGGGAACATACACAGGTATGTCCTTTAAATGTGTAGCATTTTCCATGCATCCTATTGTATAACGAAGAGGAAAATAACATGATCTGTTGATGGTGTTGCATTATTTTGATCAAGTTCTGAGGAAATCAGAAAACCCACATTAAATGAAAAAATATATGCACTTTGCACTCAAGTTCACATCAGCATATCATTCAACTGAGTTAAGTTCTTGATTTAACTGTGCTCATAATATTAACATAGAGCAGAAAGTAAACTTTCAACCCAGATGCTCATAGTATGAGAGGCCTGACAAGCAGGTGCTGAAGATAAATATTCTAGAGAAATGGAACATTGGCAAAGAGCTTAAAGGTTAAACAAAAGAATTCATGGCGTTGACAGGAGAAGGAGCCTCTGAACTTTCATTTCCCTCAGCTGGTTCTTTCTCTTTCTTACCGCTGTATTGTCCAATGAAAGAGCCATCCTCATTGAACTGGCCATTCACCCCCTCACCATAGTCAACCAGGCTGTCATCACTGTCTTCTTTTTTCACAGTCCTGTCTGAAGGTGTTCGACTTCCTTTTTTCAAAGGCTTGTGGTCTTCTGCATCACTGGAAAAGAGGGGAGATGTTTTTGTAAAAAATGGCAGTCAGGTAACGCATTTTGTTCTTAAAGATCATGCATGCAAAATATGAAAAAGCATTTGGAGTCCTGAGCTTCTTTAGCCAAATCTAACTGTCAGGTTGACTCCAATGACTAGGATGGAGCTGGAATGAAAATCAAGTACAGAAATGGTTAAATCATGAAGTCCTCAGTAGAGTGGATGGTTGTGACAGTGTGTTAATTTGAATGACATTCTGATTCCTGATTGGAAAGCAATCCAGAAATAGTCAGCATTAAAAAGGGAAGAATTGAGGAAAGCTGAAAAATCGTTCCTATTTTGAATTCAAGGGCTGGGGGTGGGGCAAAAGCTTATGGCAAATAGAGAGGTTAGTTTGTTAAACTGGACATCTCTGATATCCCATCCTTGGATGTGAATGGAGGAGGATGGATCTGGTTAAATATGAAATATGGATTTTTTTCCTGAGCCAGAAGAAGCAAAAAAAAATTCTTATATTTGAAATAGTTTTGTTATCAAATACAGGCCAGACTAAAAAACTTCAGCCTTACCTTTCAAGAGACCTACAAATTCCATTAAAAGGATGCAGAAGAAACAAATGAAAATAGCCTAAGAAGAAAAGCAAAATCCTTATACTGATAGTATACTTTTTTCCTATAAAAATCAGTGGCTAAATATTAATTTGGAAAGAGACACATTTAACTTAAAAGCACTAATTTGCACATGAGTGGCATGCCAATATGTTCCAAAGAGCGTGAGCGTTCCCGGCATGCAAGTGCAAACGCTTCCTGTACCCATCCTAACCCCTTTCCCCCTCTCTCATGCCTCTCCATGTTGAATGGGACTCTGAGCATGTGCTTTAATCACACTTTATAGGATTCTATCTTTACTAATACTACCACTGCGTTTATTTTATGTTGAACCCCTAAGCACGGTTTTTGGAAGTAGAAGAGTAATATGTTTAAGAAGGTCCACTACCTGGGCATGGTGGGCCATGCCTGTAATCCCAGCACTCTGCAAGGCTGAGACAGGTAGACAGCAAGCTTGAGTTCTGTCTGGGCAATGCAGCAACTTAACAAGACCTTGTCTCAAGACAAAAACAAAAATAAAAATAAAAACAAAAACACACAAAAAACAAAGGCATGGAATGTGAAGGCCCTGGGTTTAGTTCCTATTACCTCCCCACAAAAAGTCCACAAATATGGCCATATAACTATTTAGACATGCACACTGATCTATTCCTTAATAGGTAAAATTTAGAAATAAATAGCAAACAGATGCAATTCGATATTTTGTCCTGCGCCAAAAAAAAAAAAAAAACAAAAAAAAACCAAAAAACAAAAAACAAACCCACCCCAACATGCAGGTAAAAATAGAAAACAGACACAATATTAATAAAAAGCCTTACTATAAGAGAGGTCACCTTAGCTAGGTATTTTTATCTCTAGCAATTTGTGTTATAATTGAATTGTTTCCTGTTTTATAGAGTGATTTTTTTTTTCTAGCCAAGTCACAAAGATTTTAAGTTGCCCAAGTATTTTGGCTGTTTTATTTTTTTTAAAAATAGGGTCTTATCCCATTCAGGCTAGCCTTGAACTCACTTTGTAGGATGGGCCAGTCTTGACCTCTCAGTGATCCCCCTCCCTTAGCCTCCTGAGTACTGGAATTACAAGTGTGTGCCACCATGCCTGGCTCAGTTCTTTTTGCCATAACTTCAGCTAGCAATTTCATTTTGTCTCCAATAAGAATATCTTAAGGCTGAGAAGTAATGCTAGAAATATGATACTGCCATCTGGTATTGAAAACGACTTGTTTAATGCACAAATCCTTTTGCAATTTGAATAGCTGATTTTTATCAATGCTGCTGATACATAACTGGAGTGGCATCAAAGAACCTGGTAGTAGCCTGTCTTTAGGGGCATTTCAGAAGACATAGTATTAGCAACTGACCCAGTATAAAAATAGTTTGCACAATACCTTTGGAATTTAGTCATTAACTCTAGGCTTTGCTTGATTACTTCCTGTGAAATATTAAGTACGACTCGGTAAGAAGGTTAATACTGAAGAAGAGTTCAATAATGAGCAGAATTTATCACCTGAATACCAACTGTTAGTCTTAATTCTGCTTTATAAACTAGTGTCCCAAGCATTTGTCTATGGCTTTTCTTTGATTCAGCAATCAATCCACGCATCTTTTCATACAATAAATGTTTACTGAGTTCCCACTCTAAGATCGACATTGTTCTAGGCACAAGGCATAAAGCAGTGAACAAAGCAAACTAAAATTCTTGTTGAGTTTATTTGTAGTGGGGAAAATTCAATTAATAACCCTGATAATAAATAAAATTAGTTATGCCAGAAGGTGGCTAGTACTAGAGAAAATAAAGAGCATAGAAAATGTTCAGGGAAGGGATGGAGGGTTGGCACTGCAGTAGGATGGCTAGGGAAGGACTTGTTAATGAGTGGCATCTGATGAAAGACTTTAAAGAGTCATTAGGCAGGTGAGGAGAGGCAGAGCTGTTCTGGCAAAAGTCACAAGCACTGTAAATGCCCTGAGGCAGGGGCAAGGCCTGTTTGTTCTAACAACAGTAAGACACAAGCACAGATGGGCTGAAACTAAAAGAAAGGAGGTAAAGCAAGGGCAGAGTCAGAGAAGCCACTGGCAGATCTCAGTGGATGAGTGACATGATCTGACCCACGTTTTCGAAGGCTTCTCTGTTATCAGTGTTCAGAAGAGTCTACTCTAGCGGGCAGGAGTTGGGAAGGTACAGCAAACTTGGGCTGTGCACATTTATGACACACCACTTACTGCTGCTTTGGTGTTACATCTGCAGGATTATAGAGCTGCAGCAGAGACTGCATGGCCTGCAAAATGTAAAGTATGCACTGCTGGGCCTGTTTTGTAGAATAAGTGTTCTAGACTTCGCTCTAGGAGGAGGTCAGGGGAGACTAATGTACTAATCTAGGAGTGAGATGACTCTGATTGGGAGTGGAGGGGGACATTGGAACAAAATGCTCAGATCGTGGACATATGTTGCAGGCAAAACCGATGGGATTTTTTAATGCATTAGGTATGGAATAATAGAGGAAAAGGATGACACTGAAATTTTTGGTTTGAGTGACAGGAAGCTTGAGTGACAGGAATTAACCTAACTTACTACCGAGTACAGCATGTCTGGGACGAGAGCAGTGCTTCTGTTTTGGACAATCACAGTGACCCCTCCTTTAGTAATTTTATGAAGCTGGTGTGACACCGATCCATAAAATCAACAAGAACACTTAGAGAAAGTCAAAGTAGAGGCTAATGTCATCCATGACATATGTGAGAAAATCTCAAACAAATGAGTAAATTGAGGTTAGCAACCTACTTAAAAAAAATCCATATACAGGTTGGGTTTACTCCAGGAATACAAATTGTTTTAGCATTGAAACATTAATTCATAACACGTGCCATTTTAATAGAAGTATTTATGCTGATCATAGTAGACCTAGGAAAAGGTATATGAAAAGTTTAATGTCTATTAATAATAAAAATTTAATATACTAGCTATAGAAAGTACCTTTACTAATATGATTAAGGATATCTACATGAAACCGACAGTAAACATCCTTGATGGCGAATGCTGGAAGCTTTTTGTTCGACATCAGAAACAGTGGTAGAGATAGCTACTGTCACCATTTCAAATTGAAATGTCATTGGAAGTACTAAGCAATGTGATAAGAAAAAGAAAGAAAAGAAAGGTAGCTGCCATTAAACATAAACGTGAACTACTTAGAAGAATCTACAGGCAAATATTAGAAAAAAGAACTTAGCATGAAACTAAATTTTATTTGTGCCCTTTCAAACAACTGAAAAGTAAATATTTTAAAAGTTATTTCATTTATATGAATAAAATATGAAAAAGTTCCATCAAATATGAAATATGTAAGAACAATTAAAATATGTGAAAGACCTTTTTGAAGAAAATAAAGCTTTTATTCAGACTCATTAAAGAAGATAGAGAAACACAATATATCTGTAGATAGGAGACTGAAGTACTGAAAATACATGAATTTTCCCCTAACAGCTCTTTAGTGTTAATTTATTTGCACCTAGCAGGTTTTTATGTGAATCTTTCAAGATGATTCTAAAATGTGTGTGCAAATGAGAAGCATGAAGAAATTCCTAAAAACTCTTGAAGAAAAACAAAGAAGACTTGACCCAGCAGATGTTAAGACTTATTAATGCTGTTAAGACAGTGTAGTATTTGATTACATTTACCATTGAAATGGAATATAAAGCTCCCAGACCAGTGAAAAAATCTTTTTTGTTGGCTTAATCTATATCATATGTTTTCCTAACTAGGATCATTTTAAAAACATCTCATTTTCCGACACATAGAAATATAATTTACTTTTATGCTTTGTGTCAAATAATAGTAGTAAACCCTGGTAACTTTAATATATTTCCCATTTGGATTTTTCACTTGGACAATCATGTCAGTTTTGAACAACAACCAGACAAATGGGGCTCCCTGAGCACCCGTTCAGCCCAGCTTCATGGCTGTGGTGGACAAGACCACAGCTGGAGAGAGAAGAAGTGATGTGAGATATTCTATCCACAGCTTCTTTCCAGCAGAAGCTGTTTGAAGACAGCAAGATCTTTGTAAGCCTAGCTTTCAAACAGTGGTATGATGTAACACCATGCCTCAGGAACTAGAGTGTAGTCAAAAGAGAAAAATTATCCAAGGCACATGCACAGTGCTGGGCACATGGTTGTATTTAACAAATGGGCTGACTATCAGCCCTCTTCTTTCTACCCAGACAGAACTGTTCAGATGTGATGAGTGAGTTCAAGTGTGTGGGAAGCACGATATTAATTCAGAGACCCATTTTATAATGAAATGGTAAATAAATTGCTTTCGGCATTGTGCCAAGGAAAGCTTGTCCAAATTAAGTGTGAAAGGATAGTTTTCCAAATGACAGCAATTAAAAATTATTGAAGATGATTTGTTACATGCATATATTAAAATATCACAATGAAACCCAATATTCTGTATAATTGATACACACAGATTCTATGTATAGATATAATTTCCCTACAGGTAGCATAAAAGATGATATATATACTTAGCTATGCAGTTTCCAATGCTTTTTTTTTTAAAAAGCATTTATCCATGTTTTTAGGACACAATATTATTAATTACTAGGCCAGAAGATGAAATAATTTTAAATGAATTTCAAAATATGGTATAATATAGTATCTATCTATCTATCTATATATATATTTCTTAATAAATCAAAATTGGAGTGCAGTGGAAATGAACATTCACATGCCAGTATCAAAACTCAGTCCCTGTGTCACTTCCTCTCAGAAGACTTCCTGCACCATTCTCCTGCACAGTGTGCTTAGCTTTAAACTTCCTGGCCCGCTTTCTTGGTACTTCGGTTGTGTTCTTTTCACACTCTGGTCAAACCATCCTTTTACTTCCCTGTTCCCCTCAGTAGATCATAAACTCTGAATGTGCCACTAAATTCCATTGCTTTTAATATCTGCCAAGCCTCGCACAGAGTAGGTACTCAGTAAATATCATTTGGATGAATTTTTGGCAAAGAAACAATAAAGAGATGGGAATTTCAGAATTCTTTGAGATTGTAACATTAAAATATTTTATTCCTTTTTAATTATAATGTGGCAGACAAAGGATTGAAATATATTTTTGTTTCCTTTACATTAAGAATAAATTTTAAGAACTTCATTTCTTTTCAACAGTGCTTTGATGAGGATTGTGTACAATCATTAAATGCTCACTGAGTAAAACTTAGCCATATCAAGTAAATCTGTGATAAGTTGACTTTCCTGTAGTCAACACCTGCTATGGTCAAACCACGATACAGTTCATCAACATTCATGACCCCAAAACTTCCTGACCCACTCTCTAGATGTTCTTTAGGTCACGTTGGTGAACAGACTAAATATCAAGTATGCAACAAACGTGACACAGCTTCACATCATGCAAGCTTTGGGCATGTGGGTTAGTAAGCTTGCAGCAGGGCTCTGTTCACATGAATGCCAAGATTCCACAGCAAGAGCCTCCCGTTAAGCAGTAAACTGTGAGATCAAGTATCACAGGCATAGGATTTACGACCTAGGTTCATTCTGGTTTTAAAAAGAATACATCTAAAGAATACGAAAATACTTACACAGTTGGTTGCACTGTTTCTCTGATTTTTCTACATGCTAGTAAAGATGCAGATCCTACTGTCTGTATATAAAGAAAACAAAGCTGCAGGCTTCCATGAGAAGATCACTGCTTAAGGGTGGATGTTGGAGAGAGGGCACAGGGTTTTAGCGTATGAAAAAGAAAGTCAGATCTGGCCACAGTTGAAGTTCTATCCTTCTTTGCACTATGGTACATCCTCTGGCTGGAAGCCAACCACGCAGAAAAGGTTTCATCCTCAGACTGGAGAAGGAGCAAACCATAAATGGAACTGGTTTGTGTCTAGGCAACAGTCCTAATTTGGCAGGTGCTGGTGTGTGATGAGCACTGTAATTTATTTTTAGTATGAAAGAGAATCAGAATCAATGAGCAAGAGAAAGTTCAAGAACTTCCAAAAGGTGCCAAGTAGAGAAAGGACCCCAATGATTTAGGGAAGTAAATGACATTTACATGTATTATTTTAAAAAACAATTCTGTAAGAAACAGTTGGAATTATTTTTATAAATTATGAAATCTAAGATAATAATGGTCTTCCGAGTTCTTTAAATAAAAATGATACCAAAGGGAAACAATTCTGAGTTAGTGTCTGAAAGTTACAGGACAAAGCCACAATGAAACAAAGCATGTTTTATAATCCAGAGAAGTGATTTCGTATGTGGCATTCTCCTTATGAATTTAAACCTCATTTAAAACAACAATACATCATCATTGTGCTTCAAGTTGAAAATACCATCAGAATTTGGTTTCCTTTGGCCCCTTTAAGATCAATGTCATTCCATATGTAACATTACTGTTGTCTTTACTCCAACTGGGTTTGTATTCAATAGGCCCAACTCAAAAGTTTGTTCATCTTGAAAATTCAAGCCAAAGGCTAAAGACAGCCATCTGAAAATGCTCCACCAAGGTAGCATGCATGAATTAACGTTGAGACAAAAAAAAAAAAAAAAAAAAAGATTCAACAATGTAAATCAAGTAGCGATTATGGGAGCATAATGAAATACTTGCTCTGTACTGTTCTGAAAACAAAATCACTTTAAAAATTGGTAGAAGGGAACACATAGAGAATATGGAAATCATAGAACTAGAAAGAAACTCTCCAAGATCATCTAACATCTGAATAACTGCCTGATTTTAGAGATGAAAGAACTGAGATCTAGACAGACTATTTAAAGGACTCTCAGGTAATGGCTGTGTAGAAAGTAAAACTAGCAGTCTGCTGATTTTGAACCAGTTTATAAAACTCAACCTCCATTTTAATCATTTTAATGACGTACGTAGCATAGTTACCCATGGAAAGTCAGGTTCTTTTGGGTGACCTTCACATTACTGTAATAGCAAAGGGTTATCTGAGGCTCATACGGTGAGCAGCACATTGCCCTATTCATTTAAGTGTGACAATGCAGAACGGGAATCCATCGGCATGCGGGGGACCCATGAAGTGAATGGCTTATTTTCAGTTCATGCAAATACATAATTTTCCCAGGCTATAATAACAATACCTCTTCATAACAATAAATAAGGGAGAGGTGCGCATATCCTATATAGAACTGCAGCCACCAAGAACTCTAAAAAAACAGGCTGTTTAGCAACTCCCAGCTCACCCACTCACAGAAATATGCAGCAGAGTGAGTTAAACCAGCAAAGATTTTTACTCCTCAGGGTCAGACACGGCTGCCCTCACACCCTGGGAAAATCTTTTGGGTACAGTGGTGGGTGCTGTTTGAGGTCTTCATACGCTTTCAGCCACTGAACCAACATGAGGCATCAGGACAACTCTGACAGACATTTTTTTTCTGTATCCTGAGATACAGAAATTTGAGGACTTTTAGAAACCATAGTTATTGCTGTTGAAGGGAAGGTCAGAATATGAAAGCTCAGGTTTTAAGACAATATAAACAAAACACTCATGTTTGCATAGGAACTGGCAGTAAGCCTATTTTGTTGAAAATGTATGGTTTTTCTCGGTAATTCTACATTTCTTGACATTATTTTATGCCTATATTTTGACAAAGAAATACCACAAATGAGCTCCAGGGACAAGAAATACTTAATTCGAGTTCTCTTTTTTTTTTTTTTTTTTTTTTGTCTTTTTGATACAGGGTTTCACTATGCAGTTCAGGCTGGCCTTGAACTCAATTTGCAGCCCAGATTGGACTCGAGCTCACAGCAATCCTCCTGCCTCAGCTTCCTGAGTACTGGGATTATAGGTATGTGCCACTGTGAGTATCGTCATCTGTCATCTGGAAATCACAATATTGAAATGTTTTATTATACCTAAACATATTTTCTTCTGGCAAAACGTCTCAGTCTGGGGCCAAGGCATGTTTTTAAAATCATAGGTAATGTATTCAAGAAGCTTATAAAAAGTCAAAGTGTAAAGTATTTTATATATAGGAAAATTCTCTGGAATATCAGAATATAAATGTTTTAAACACTTATTTTGTTTCTGTTTCCATTTTTAAACATTTCTAAGAGAACCATTTCTCTCTTTCTAAAGATTTATAACAACTAGGCAGGAATATTTTCGTTTAAATAGATTTTTAAGAATTTATTACCTGGTTATGTTAGAAGTTTTTCTTGATGAAGTCAAGCAAAAAATGTTTTAACAAAGTTCTGTGGTTTAACACAGTCCCCAAATGGGCTGGTGGATATTTCCTAATAATTAATATCTTCTAAGTGAATTAGTAGCTTCTAAGACAATTTTTCTATCATTTCATGATTAACAGTAGGGGTACTGGTATTGTTCAAGAAATGCTACCTACAAATCCAAGATTAAAAAGTCTGGTTTTCTAAAGCAATAGTTTTAATTCTCACTCTAACCACTGGCTTTGCTAGATTAATTAACATAGCACAGGCTTCTGGAAAATATGACACAGTGAGGCATATTTGGTCTCCAACCTATGGCTAAAATATAAATTTATTTCCAATGAAAAATAAGAAAGTTTTAACTATGAGAGGCGTGCAACACAGAAGTGTTTCTAAACTTATAACTGAAGAATATACACCCTGGCTGAGTCCTGTCCTCAGGAGAAGGTGTGAGGACTGTTTGTGAGGGGCAGAGAAGACGAAGAGCAGAGAGGAAGAGAGGCTCACCTGTATTCTCCAAAAGTCCCGTCATCTTCCTTCATGGGCTGGATTTCAGGATCTGCATGGGCATCTTCCTTTTCTTTAACTAAAAAATTGAAATGGCATTCTTATGCATTGGTCTTGTACTTCCTTGTTCCAAGTTTGTTAGACCATATTCTGAGATCTAACCAGGGGAAAATAATTCTCTACACAGGTAGATGTCATGTAACCATATATATTATGTGGCCATACATATATTTTAGTCATCTGAAGATATTCGAATCATTTTGAGAAAACCTAATAGAATGAACACTTGTTGACACATAAAGTTGACTTTAGTCTCTTATTTGATGATGGGTTTTCTAAGATTTCTTTTCTACTTTACCAGTCTATTTATTAGTTATACTCATGATAATACTTTTTTTGGTAAATCTATTCTTTGTAGCACTCTTACAGTAACTAAAGGAAAAATGGTCAGGTAAAAAAATACATATTCATTGGACCTACAAAATCAAATAAACTATCAACCTTATTGGAAAAGCAATATCATGCATCACAATATTGAAATTAGATTTGTATAGTACTGCTGGGAAATTTCACACCCCACTCCCACTGGTTTAAATTTCAGTATTCGTGACTTCTGTGGAGCCTAAGGAAGAATACTTTCCAAAATTTTCAGAGACCAGATTGATTTGCTCTTCCAAATGTATGATGATGCTTGATAATGTTTAGGTTATCATTCTATAAAAAGGGATCAAAACTCATTTGAACAGAAAACCTAAATTTATAGCTCTGGAGGCTAGGGATATAGCTTAGTGGCTCAGTGCCTGGCAGGCAAGCATGAGATCTGGAGTTTGATTCCTGGTACCCACAAAAATAAAATAAAATAAATTTATAGCTCTGAGAGGACTGTTATTTACATGGTTCTTTTCAGTTCATGGGCAATTGAAAGACTGCTGTATAACTGCAGCATTATACAGCAATTTTTATCATTCGTACCTGGATATTTGCCACCTTTGTTTCTTCTGATGAAGCAAACAATCAGCAAGATTAAGATAAGGAGCGCGACAGCACACATCAGACCTATGAACCAGCCCTGAGTCGCAATGTCCACCTGCCGGCTTGCCATTGCTGGAAAACAAACCGGGGCATTGGTGGGAATGTGTTAAGGGGTGATGAGAATCGCAATTAGTTTCTTGTACAAAAAAACCTGCCACAGTATACATGCTTTTATGTATTTTACATGTGAAACCAAATTGGAATCTGTCAGTTATCAATGGGGGGATTACATAAATACTTAACTTTGAAAAATCTTAATTAAAAACATTCAAATAGGGAAATCTGAATCCCACTAATATTAACTGCTACTAAACCCTTCTAAAAACTGTGTTCATAATTATCTTAACTATATATTCTTAATGAAAACATACTTTCAAACTGATAAAAAATCTTCTTGCTATAGCATAAATCATTAGATACAATGACAAAATATAAAATGGAATTTTTAAACAGGTTGAAATGTATACATCTAGAGGAGTATTTTTCCTTCAAAGGAAACCAGTTTGGGATGCTAAAATATAATTGTAACACAGATGCCATTTTTTCAAAGTGTTTTGGAAGTATTCTGTTAAAAAAAGAAAATGATCCAGACAGGAAACCTGATCACATGAGAAAATCAGCCATCTTATTTTATATAATACCTCATTTCTGAGTAGAAATGCCTAAAACATCAAATTTACCTGCAAAGAATCAATAGTAATTATTGCTTAGAATCTGCTCAAGACTGTAAAATAGGTCTTGACCAGGAAGGAATCATTCCTTTAGTAAATGGCCAATTTGAAGAGAAAATACTCAATTGCATGTATACATCATCGTTACGCCTTCATCTCCTGTTTGAGTAAGTGAAAGGGAAGCCCTTATTCAAGCAGTCACAGTATGCAAAGCTCCCAAGGAAATCACAGAATAATTAGCACTTCTGGTATTACTCAAAAGTGTCAATCATACGGGGAAAAGTGCAGCATCAATGGCTATTCAGACATGCCCATGCGGATTTGTTTAAACAAATTTTATGAATCCTTTATTAAAGGCCATCAATTTTCTTTTTTGTTCATAATCAAGGCAAAAGGTTTTCTTCTTCTGACTTAATAACCATGCCTGTATCATGCTTTTAATACACTGAATTTCTTCTGAAAACATTTCACATGGTTGGGTTAGATGTATATGACTTCTGGATGCAGAAATAAGCATGGCCACACATACCCCAGTCTTTCTATATGTTACAAAATAACATCGCTTGTCTCCTTCATGCAAAGGAGAAAAATGAGATGATTAAAATCAAATGTGAGAAGGAGTGTTTAAAAAAGTCCGGAAATATGTTGAAGAAATAAAAAGAGAAGTGGAAATATATTAACTGGAGCACAAATCAAAGGCCAACAGTTTTCTGCCAAAAGCCCTTCATCCTTAGAGGGTTTTGGAGCTGTATTGTAACCAGACACAACTGGAGCATTAGTATAATAGGGAGCTCCTCCTTCCATATGCATTCCGTGGTTGTCATGATGATGATGATGATGATGATGATGGAGATAATGGTAACAGCGATAGCTAACATCTGGGGACCCTTACTACAAGCTAGGCATTGTGTTGAGGGTATAGGCTCATTTAATCTTTACAACAATCCTTTGATGAAGACATTGGAATAAACCCATTGTTAGAAGGATAAAGAGCTTGCCCAAGAGTGGAGATGGTTCCATTGAGCATGCTGCTAGCTATCATGCTCTCCTGAAAACACATTCAGACATCAAATCTGAAAACATCTGAACACAGAATAAAATGCTAGAGGGACTTTCTGTACTGACACACGCAAAACTGTCTGCAAGGTCCATCACTACTTTCTCTTTGGCAATATATTTACAAAGTTCACACATAGTCTTTGTGAGCTTTCTCTTCAAAATGAAACTCAAAACCAAGAGGCAAAGTCTCTTGAGTGTCTGATTGAAGTAAAAGAGTCCTTGTTTTTCCCCATGCTTAATGATTCACATCCTTGTCATAAATAATATCAGCACTTACATTTTTTCACCTAATTTAAGACAACTGATCAGAGAAAAATGAAATAAGATGTTCATGTATAGCACAGACTGTTTTACGAAGATGGTGACTTCCAAAATTGAACCGAAGACTGGTAGCCTGTCCCTAAGCAACTGTATGAAAACTGTGTGTTTCCTTGACAGCTGGTGAATAAACATTCAAATTAACTTTGAATTTTTGACACTGTGTCAAAGGAAAACATGATTACATATTCCCTATCCCATTATTCAACGTTAGTCAGACACAATAAATTAATAGGTACACGAGTGCACATGTGCGTAGGTACACATACAAGTGTACCACAAATTGATATAGAACAAAAATTCTGGAAGTAGAAATAAAGTGTACTGACTTGCCATCTTTATGAAAGGAATCTAAAGCCCAGAACAAGAGGCTTCAAGCCTCATTCTAAATCATCCTATCTGCAACACACAAACCAAGTTCTTAATGAAGACTGTGCAGACTACACACACACACAGACAAGGACAGACAAATGAAATTTATGTGTCTTATGGAAGCTGAGCTATATTGGGTGGGTGTTAATAGGAATGGATTGGAAACTTTATCTGAAATTTTTTTACAATTAAGTTATATGCATGCATTACTTGAATAACCCACAAAGTAGCAAATCAAACACATACAGAATAATAAGCGAAGTGAAGAAGGGCAGAGGAAGGAAATTTGTCTCACTGCCTAGAAGTCAATAAACAGCCTCCTGCTCTCATGCTGCTTGCTGTGCCACGCAGGACCTGTGTTCAGTCTGGGGTGAACACACACACACCTGGGGTGTGTCTGGGGAAAGCATGTTTGAGTCCTCCCAAAGCGTAGGGCAGACACGGAAGAGACAGAGTCAGAGTGATGGTGACTATTTTTACTGTTCTATTTATGAAGACTCAACTAGGTATAAAAAGGCCCTGTATGGTTTAAATTCTTTTTTTTGTTGTTTATTTTAAATTAAGATAAGCAACAGCATATTGGGAGAAGTAGAATTTTTTTTCCCAAGCTTTTTTTCCTTTTGAAGGGAATAAAACAAAACAATAAAATGGAACAAAACAAAACCGCGAAAACAATACAGAATTTCAAAAACAAGACAAGGAAATCCCCCATCGTTGCTATAATGCATATTGTTATACTTTAAACAGATGCTCAGACCACTAGCCCCAGGCCTGCAAAGTCCATCAATCCTGTTTGGTTTGAACATTTAGAAATGTTTAAAAATACAAAAACAAAAAACAAAACAAAAAAAACCATCTTGATCAAAGTTTGGCAGCATCTGACAAAGAATCTACTTTAAATCCTTGGTGACATGTAAGAAGGGACTCCACAACTGATGGACAGAGGTGAGAAGGGAAGAGAAGGGTGAGTGTGAATGACAGGTCACCCCAGAGCAACACCAGGAATACAGGGGAGGAGCAAAGCGGCAGACATTGTTTGGCATCCTGCTTTTCAGCGAAAATTAAGAAATATACCCTGATAATTCCAACAATGAATGGTACAGATGGACTCATGCTAGGAAGATTCATGCAACAAGCATAGAACAAAGATTAAGTCTAGTTCCTGAAATGATCAGGACTCAGAGAGAGAAGCAGCTCATGAATGCAGAATATTAACACTTAGCCAAGTGGTATGTTTTCACACCAAGCACTGATGAGCTCTCCTCTGCACAGCTAGCATGGGAGGAAGGAGTGAGTGCAGAAGTTGGAACCTTCCCTCTGGGAGTCAGCTACAGGCTGAAGGGTGGAACTTTGTAAACCAGGAGGAGAGGGGAGCTGGGGTGACTCTGAGGAGAGGCATTCGAGGAAGCTGACAGCATTTGCTTAGGAGTCACACGTAACGAGGGTCCACTAGACTTTTTGTTCTTTTTGACAGTTACGCTCATACCTAAGTAAAAGTGACACCTGCTGGTCCTTGTCCTATCTATCACTGCCATGCAAGAATGGCCCACCACTCACCATCACTTGCCTGGAGTCACCTGGCAGTTGCTGGAGTAGGAGGGGTCACACTATTAAGGCAAAGCAATTTTCTAAAGGGGTTTCTTTTGCCTTGTAAAAAGACAGAACATGGCACAAGTTGGGTGTGAGGGTGAATCCATTCCAGCTGCATGTCAGAACTCCATGGAGCCTCATTTCTGAGACACGCTGTTCCCCCAATGGGCGTGGCCTCTATGACTTTGTAAGGCAGGGGCTTCACTTCTGCTGTCGGAAAGCCTGCTCTACTGTTATCCAGCTGTGGCCTGGGCAAGTTCTTCACCTCTGAGTACTGACGTGATGTGTCAGTGGGCAAAAACAGTGCCACCTCTAGGATTGTTGTAAGGACTGAAGGAGAAAACCCCTCACCTGGCGTAGAGAGGTGCTGACTATATGTTATTATTATAACTCTTATTGTCAATCTTGCTGTGTATCTCCCTGAGCTTTTAGTATCTTGAAATTATAAGCTATCAAAAACAAAAAGCTTGTAAAAAGCTAGGTGCAGTGATATGTAACTATATTATCCTAGCACACTGGGAAGGATGAGGCAGGAGGATTGCAGGTTTGGGCTCAGCCTGGGCAACACAGTAATTTAGTGATACTCTGTCTCAGAATAAAAAATAAAAAACAAAATTGCTAGGGATGGAACTCAGTATGAAGGCTCTGGGTTCAATCCCAAGTACCAGGAAAAACAAAAAACCCAAGTTGAAAAATCAAAGCCAAAATACTTTGTAAAATGAATTGTAAATTAACTGAACAAACAATGCAGGGTTTTCTTAGAGCTCTGTATATAAATGGATATGAAAAAACAAGGAAAAGAAAAAAATGGGGAAATTTTTTTCACATAATATATTAGCAAATGGCCATTTGATAACTTATTGAACATCACCTTTGGTTTTAGTCTGTTATTTTAAACCACTTATGGTTGCACATTTTTACATGAATAACAAATAACAATCAGAATACCTTATTAACAAAAGACACTACAAAAATTCATTTTGCTTATTCTTTGGGATACATATTTCCTCCATATGCATGATGTGGCTGATTGGATGTATCTATGAGCCATAATATGAGTATGTGCCACATAACCCTTGTGTAAATAACCAAGGATTGTTTTCTATCTTGTGAGCAAATATGAATATTTTTGCTTTTGGTATGGACATTCCTCTTTACTTTATAAATTTTACTTTTTACTGGTGTACTTTGTTCACGCTCATATAACAAACACAGGAAGTCAAATTTGTTGTGACAAAAATATGACATTTGAATTATATAACTTCTCACTCCACACCAGTTTAACAATATTTATATTAAACTGTGTAGGGTTCTGCTGGGTTGTAGTCCATTTTGACATAAAGAGTTATTTCAAACTTTGAAAGCATTTCAAAAATTTTAATATTCAATATTGAAGGAAATTTTATACATGGAAATTATATAAAAATTGAATTACCTAAATAATGTTAAAAATTCATGTTTAAGTCTGTATTTTATAACAGGTTTTAGCAAAAACATGGTTAGGACATGATTTGCTTGACTGTGTAATTCATTTGACATAAAAAGCCAAACACAATGGAAAGCCAGACTCTCAACCCAACAGGGCCCTGCAGAGACATTCACGACCCTACCCACAACACAGCTCCACCAGCCTGTCTCCAGCTAGAGTGACCAGTGGCTTCCACCTCTGAGCGTCAGCCAGAGCTGGTGTGGTGTGTGCCTCACCTGGGCCTGTCTCAAACACAGCCTCTGAACTCACAAAACCAGAGTGCCCCTCAGCACCAACTCGAACTTTGTATGCTGTTCCTGGCATTAGACCCTTTAACCCAAAGAAGCTCCGAGAACCATTTACAATTTCTTTTCTCCATTCTTCTTTGCCTATGGAAATTTTGCAAAAACAACACATTTGAACATTTTAAGTAACCAAAAGTTACTTAATGCTTCAAGAGAGGAAAATTCTTTGTAAGTGGAAGACAAAATCTAGGATGCCTAGTTATAGATGATCATAAATGTAATTAATTATGTCAGATAGGTCAATTAAATGAAAACCTATATGAAAATATACTAAAAAATTTACTGGATATAGAGATTGCATGTTAACTATATATATTCCCACTTTTTCTTTTTTAATATAAAGGAAGCTCCCTCTGTACCTTGTCTTATAAAGCTCCTGAGTTTCTTTAAAGGTTTTATTAAAATAACCATTATACATTATGTAGCATAAGTCAACCATGGGAAGAATTGTTTTTTAATATTTACAACATGAATTGTTTGATAAACTTCAATTTATAGATCCAATCTTTCCCAAGTATTGGTACTTTTAAAAGGACAATTATTTCTAAAGTATATTTATTTGTCTGATAAAGGTCAAAACAGAAAGTTGGGCTATGTTCAATATTTCGTAAAATATTTGCTCAAGCACTCATTGGTAACCCAGGTCATTATCTGTAGAGCATTTTGCATTAAGGAAGGGACACTGGGTTTCTGTAAACTGTTGAAAATAAATGCTATGCACCTCCCAGTAAATGTGGCTGGGATGGTAGTACAGGGCCTCCTTGGGTCAAACATCCAAACAAAATGCGTGTTCCCATAAAGCTTTAATTTTATGTAATTTCTTGTAAAATTCTTGCAACAGTTAGGTAAAATAAATTTTTCCAAGTCAGTTTGATTTCTACTGTTTCATGGTTGAATCTGCAAAGCCTTTTCTCCTTTTTGATTTGTACTTACAGATTATTCACTATTGCTAATTTGTATGTTATGAGTACAGAACCAATTTAAAGTACTATGATATGAAAAGTAACATCTGAAGGGAGCATCTGTCCTTCGTTATCAACAACATGAAAAAAGGAGATTCCTAGTTCTATATAAATATGTAGACTGATGGTTCACTATGCTTTTTTAGATAATTTTGAGCCACTTAATTGGATCGAGATACTTTTCAAGACTGCTCACAGTAAATCTTAAAAGTGTTCTTAATTTAATGAAATGTGTCCCCCAAATTGAAAGCAGGGTAATGAAATTCTTTCTTACTGCCTGCTACACCATATTCAACATAAAAGTTCACATGCTCTGGTCCCTCATATTTCCAACTGATATTGGCAGAGGTCTCAGCAGCTGCAGCAGTAAGATTGCTGATCCTGGGATTTACTGCTTGAACTAAATATACAATAGAAAAATAAAACAAATAAACAATCACATTATAGCACCATGCATGCACACAGAGAATAAATTTAAATACTATGAAATTGTACAAATAAAATGAAGTTAGAATTTACTGTTAAAATTTAGGGCTCACTCATACTCTGTTTTTATTATAGGAAGGTTTTTCATTTATTAAATCACAATATTGGTAAACAATTAGATATAATAATATATACTGTTAGAGTTTAGGAGTTCTAGCATGTGGTTCTGAACAATGTAGATTGTGGTCCATTGGATATAGTCTTTGGAGTCATCATGGTATTTATTGATGGATGACAGGGGTTGTAGAATGATCTGAGGCACAGAAATTGTTACAGTATCAGAAACCTCCAAGTAAAATCCAATACTGTGTGGCTACTTTTAAATTCTAATTTGTTATCCCAGTGCAGGTCTTAAAAGAAAAAAAGTATGTTGATGTGAGAAAGAATGCTCCTTAGAACAGTGGCTGTTTTGAGTCACAGATTTTGAAAATCTGAGGAGCTAAGAATTCCTCAGAGAATGTTTGGATGGTTAGAATATGTTGGAAGAAAAGCTGCAAAGAAATTTCCAAGCATGCTTATTAGAAGTTAAGAAACAAGAGACAAAAGGAGCAGGAACTATTTTACTTGACACATCACAGAGAGCAAGACAGCCTTACCTGTGAAATACTGCAGAGCATTTTCTGAAAACCTATAATATAACCTGACTAGCTGCTTAAAAATCCAAAGAATGGAGTATATACAGCACTATACATGCTTAGTACTCAGCAAAGACAGCATCTACAGTCATGAAAAATGTTATTTTAATATTGTGAGGCTGACAATTCTATCAGGTATAGCTCAATATCTTCAACTAAAAATGAAAAATTTATAGATATAATGACTTATGTTGTTAAAAAATAAGATCAATTTGTTATCCCAGAAAAAATGTACTAGAGTGATAAATCAGAAATACGTACTAATAGGATTACTCAGACCCTCAAGTTAGATGATAAAATTTGCTATACAATTCGGAAGCCAAACGCCTCTGCTGAAACAAATGTAATGAACTAGCATTTATTAGGTTCAAAAAGGAAAGTATATTAAAGAAGTTAGATAATGCAGTTGACCTCTGTAACATAACCCAATAACACATGTATATCTTGTGTGCCTCTTTTTTTTTTTTTTTTGCTAATTGCAGGGAAATAGCAGACAGAAAAAATTTTAACTGAATTATGCAGAAATTTAATTTCCTTTAGTTTGTGTTCCTTACCAAAATAAACTTAAAGAAATAGATAATGCTAGGAATATCATCAGCAGAAGGAGTCATATAGACATGTATAAAACATCAATGGCAAAGAGCCTTGGGAAGCAATAAAATTAATTTTATTGGTATATTTTAGATATACATAATGATATCATTCATCATAGAGAATTTGTATCTGTATATGATATATCTTGATCCCCGCCCCTCCAATTCTCTCCCATCCCTTCAACCTTGACAAATCATTTTGTTTCCTTAAAAAATTGTGGAATCACAGAACTGAGGAATTCAGTCTTGAAGTAATTTGCAATATAGCAAAAGTAGAATCACAGCTAAGTACTTTGGACAGAAGACTACTTCTTTTGTGGTAGTTTCTATGAATGTGCTCTTTACTTCCTGAAGTTTTATTCTGAAATGTTAATTTTTACATTTTAAGCTCCATTAAAACAAAACCAGTATCTTAAAGATATATCAGCTCTCTCAAGTCCATTGTAGCATTATTCAGGATAAACAATACATAGAAACTAAGAGCCCACTGACAGATAAGTGCATATAGATGAATGGTATATATAAAGTAGAACACCATTCAGCCTTACAAAAGAAAATATGCCATTTGCAACAACATGGATATACCTAGAGGACACTGTACTAAATGAAATAAACCAGACAGAGAAAGAAGAATATTGCATAATCTCACTTGCAGGTAAAATTTTAAAACATCAAACTAGAGAAATAGAGTATCATGATGGTCACCAGGGGCCATGATTGTAATGAAATGGATAACCCAAACTTTCAGGTATAAGATGACTAACTCTGGAGATCTAATGTGTTATGCACTATAATTAATACTAAAGTATTCTGTGATGTAAATGTGCATTTAGCTTATCTTTAAAGGCCACCAGGTAACACTTTATGATTTTATTTGGCTTTCCCAACCATCTCCCACTGTCTGCCTTTTCCTTCTGTAAGTCTTCCTCGACAGATACCCAGCAGTGTGTGTAAAGTAGTTACTATTGTTGTAGCTTATCATAACTGACACCATCTTGTGCCCTATATTTGACTAGTGCCCTGTGTTTAACTCAGAAGAGTGAAAAATTACTCAGGGTACAAGTCCCAAGAGAAAAGCAGAATGAGTTGCACCCACAAGAGAGAAAAAGTAACCTGCTCAACAAAGAAGCAGGACATAGGTGTCAACCAAAATTAATCTACGGTTCTAGCTAAACTGTTTCCACAGGATGTCTTGCTTTGTGGTTTCTTGCTTTAAATGCCCGGTGACCCTTCAGTTCAGTGCCAATCGTCTGGACCCTGAAACTGGGGTCCATGGGTAGTTGCTGAGCTCAACTAAAATTCCAAATTTATTAAATTGGCTGCCTGAATTCCTATATTGTTTATGAACCCACTTCAACTATAGTTTCCTGAACTACAAATCTCCTCTCTTTTGAAGATGTGAATGGCTAACTTCTGCCCACAGGTAAGTACAATCCCTCTGCAAGGCATTCACAGCAGCCTCTCCATCCTGCCTTCTGTCCCAACTTAGGGACTTCTCTTTTCCACACACTCTACACACTGCAGCCAAGCTGGATCACCCAAATATCCTGTGCACTTTCTAACCCTGACCTTTTTGCTTATAGCCTTACCAAGACTTAAACTCCAATTTTGATTCAGCTGCCAAAATACACCATGCTTCAAGGCCTGTCTTAATATTACTTCCTTTGTGCGGCTTTCCCTGATCTTGTTTGGCAAAATAAATGGTTCATTCTTCTATACAACATTTTGTTCATGTACTAGTTTAGCATCTCTTCCTTGCCAGATTTAAAGCATGTCAAAACAAAGACAGTCTAACTATTTTGATATGCAATATCCTTTAAAACAAAAAGGCTAGCTCATTTTATGTGCCAGGGAGACATAAGTAGTTGAACTGCTTGAAACTTCTAGGCTTCTATATAGTTTTTGTTGGTGGTGTTATTCAGACTGAATAAAGACGGGAACTGGGCACTTGATAGTTTTGTTTCCTGCTTCTTTATGTTAGTAAAATAATCTAGTAAGAGTCAGCTCATGGGAGGGCTCATCATTGGAAGATTCCCGGTACCTTTTTCTGCTTAGTCCTAAGTGGTTGCCCCTAATAGGCTGCTTATGTGGGCAAGAATGGAGATTCTGTCCCCACCTTACTAGTGAATTTCTTCTTCCTCTACCCCAGTTAGTTACCCTACAACAATGTCCTGATGGTTTCTCTCAAGGGTCCAGAGTCAAATTTCATAAATAAAGAAATAGGATCCATCAGCAATACTAGAAGCATAACTCAAGTCAATTACTGGCATGTTCTGGCTCATTTTGATAGACTCCTTTGCTGATCTAGTCCTAGAACCTCAGACTCTGAAATGATTTGAAAAGCCATAGAAATTGAACATATGCATCAAAACAACATATATATATATAAATATATAAATATTAGAGGCTTGAATCAAAGGAATTAATCATTATTATCTTGAAAAAATATGGAAGGAAAACCCCAAGATCACAAATTATATTTGATCAGTTTAAATATTAACAGCAAAATTTGACTAATGTTGCACCATGGAAAGAATATTGAAAATAAGGTCAGATCTGGCTTTTTCTTCAACATTAGCCCTTTTCTCATCTGAGATCTGTCAGATATTGGGTACTCAGTGAACTTTAAAATACTTCATTTTTTCTTGTTCTTTAACTATAAACAATTCATAATTCAATTTAGTAATGTTGGATGGTAGAACCTACACTTAACTAAGATTTCTTTTAATTTTAGTTTATCAAAAAAAGGAGGTGATGGCTGTTCTGGAGACTCAAGTCCTCTCCTGCATCCCAGCAGCCCTGCTGACGCTGTGGCCCTGCCAGCCTTGGTACACCGTGGAGACATGCGTGCCCGCCAGGAGAGGAAGCCAGGCTTCCCTGCAGGCCTTCAATGCATTCACTGTAAAATGACAGCTCCTTTTAACTGACTCCCACTCCCAGAAAAGAAGCATACATATAAAATATTTTTTAAATATTTCTACAATATTTTGTAGAAAATTTGAACTTTTACAACCTTATCCTTTTAGGTCAAAAACACAAATATAGTATTATTAAGATCACGTCTCTGCCCCCAAAATGGGAAACTAAGGGAGAAGGGAGCACAGTGGCGTGTTGGGGATGAAAATGATCAAAGCACTTCAAGGATACATACAAGTCTTCAGACCTGAAGTCCAGAATCTGTCTAACCAATTAAAAAAAGTGGGAACAAGATTACAAAAAAAGGGGGACAGTTTTTATTCAATCACTCTAAATGCTGTCATATATGCATTTTATAATTTAGCCAAAGGCTCTGACTATACACAAATTTCTAAGAAAACAGAAAAAAGTGTATGAAGCCTAAACTCATAAGAGTTGAATAATTTAGGGCAACACTCTTGTTGCTCTTGGTCTTCTGTTCTTCACTTCTGTTTGAAGAGTCACAATTTGCTCTGTCAAAGCCCAAGAAAGCCCTGACTATGACACACTTCCCTCAAAAGCAGCCAGAGGCAGGAGCTCTGCTGCTCTGGGTGGTCGACCAATAGCCCAGGGTGGGTCAAAGACTGGGGGAGCTTTGGTATTGCCATGTGCAGAAGACATCTTCCAGCTTAGCAGGCACCATGCTCCCAAGTCTTTCTGACACAAAGAGCTGTCGTTGTCTGTGACTCAGAGGGGGAAGACTTGAACAGTCTGGGGAAGACATGATGGAGGAACACAGCTGAGCAAAACATGCAGGCTGACTGGAAGACTCATTGGTGGGCAAACATCATCCCAAGCCAGTTCTAGGGTGTGGCACTGACATTTGGACAGTGCTGCGTTGTGCCAGGAGGGTATACACTGTGTCTATGAGGAGTGTGGCTAAATTCGATTACAGGGGGAAACTCAGTTGATCTAGTTTCCCATGAGCTGTTTGATTATAGGACTAATAGTTCTGAACTCCTGATATGTGGCATGGTCATACAGAGGATCTGTGACAAACCCACAGTTTTGGTCCTGCCTGATCCAGCCAAAATCATATTATAAAAAGCTAAGATTAGCACTTGCACCAGGAATATAAGTCTTGACAAAAATTTTGGGAGAATTCAACATATGCCTTGCTACTTGTAAAAATGACTTAAAAATTAATTTAAAAGCCAAGATCAGCCAAGATCTTCTCCTTTTGGTGGTTCCCAGCATATTTTATTTTCTCTTTTTCACCCATGCTGCACTTCCCCACATTTAACATTGCATATTCACACGTGTATAAAGTCATGCAGATGAGTTATTTTACCTTTGCCTGCACCTACATCAGGTGGAAGAATACCAGCTTTGACGAAGGGAAACAGAAATAGGACACTATATAGTTAGATGTAACACACCCGTGAGCATGTACAGCAACACAAGAAAACACTTATTAAAATGCTACGGCATGCAAGAACAATGCGTGTACCACATCAGGTACGGGGACAAAAACAGGCCGGTGTCCCAAACTTCTCCAGCATTCAAATCCACATATTATTTACAGTGCTTCATTCATTAGCATATAAGAAGGCTTACGAATATTTTGAACCAAATTTACATAGAAATGTCAACTTCTTATGCTATGGAAGATAATTAGATAAATAACCCTGAAATAATTTTACCATTTAGAGACATGCAAAGCCAGAAAATCTTTTACAATATTTTTGATCATTTTTATTTAATGTAAAATTTTCAGGATGCTTTTTAGAAGTATGAAAACTTAATGGGATTATTTTGGTTTCTTTGTTAACAGATGACACACCAAAATACAAAGCTCCTTATTCTAACACAGAAAAATTGTACTCTTTAGGTGACTAATTTGACTTTTTTTTACTAGAAAACATTAACAGTACATGGATGAGCAAGTTATATTTGGTGAATTAGGACCAGAAGTAGAATTGTGTAATTACATATGTGTTCATACATATGTATATCATACGTGAATAAATATGTGTATGTGTATATAAAATTATATGCAGAAAAAAAGTTGAACTTTGAATTCAAGTGTGGCAAATATTATAAAATTTCTCAATTCTACTCTAGTATTTTAATATGTTTTAAAATCTAATATGGAACTGAAAAAATACTTAAGAGCCATTCCAATATAAACTCAACAACTGATTTTACTATATATAAAGGAGGAGATATACATAGAATGAGGAATTACAAATAAGTGTTTGTGTAGGTAAGATGGATACTCCCTGGTAAGAGGGAAAGAGGAAATATACTAAACCATGCAGGATTTCGTACATACCCATCTTACCTTCGTCCACAGTTGTTACTCCTTCCTCTGTAATCTGACTTCCAGGTCCTACGGATGTTTGGGCATAGAAATAAAACTTATACCGAGTGCTGAAATTTAAATTTTTTAAAGTCCAGCGTGTCTTGTTGGCAGGAATTTTTAAATCTATCAGAGGGCCTAATTCATGTGTGCTGTTTACTGTGAATAAGAAATAACAAACAAGTGCGTTCTTCATCAATTACAACAAGAATGTTATAAATATTCCTAACAACCAAAAATTGACACAAATGACTCGTAATCCTGCTCATTCTTCACTTTACATAACTGATAACACATACAGCTCCTAGAATACTTGAATATACAATATAACAAAGCAAGGGGTAATATGTTCTCCTTTTGCTTATAAACTAGGGAAATTTTATAATTCAATCATGATAGTATTTTGTCTGTTTTAAAGGTGGAGCCATATACTGTACTGTTAAATAATTTAAAATCTTTCCTTTAAGTCTTATGACAAAGGTACCTCAGCATTTTCTATGTACAGTTTAAAGCCTACTTAACTTAATAAGATGATTTTCCTTAAACCCCAGGCCCTCAAACATCTATATTATTCTACATAGTACTTAATTTTCAGTAGCATATACATTGTTTGTCTTTTAAAAGCCTTAAGAACCTTTTGGAATAATATTTGAAGGCACATGCATATATTCTGCAGATACAAAGAACAAGTTTGTGTGTCAGGTAACAGTAAAGTTTTTTTTGTTTTGTTTTTAAAACTGTGTTTCTCTTCCTCTTCTTCTAGTAACTTACTTGGCTGGTACTTCAGGGTGTACTCAGTCAGAATGCCATTTGGGCGGCTCGGTGGATCCCATTCCAGAGTGAGCGAGTCCAGTGTGGGATTCACAATCTTCAAAGAGGAGGGAGCACTGGGGACTTCAATAGGAACATGTGGTCAACACAAAAGTTTCTAAGGCATTCACATATTAAAAGGACATATTTTGTCACATTTATACAACAGATCAAGCTTGTGGTTTTCAGTCACTTGCTCTTCACTGTGCAGAAAACACTTGAATACAAACCTGTGGCAGGAATCGGTTTATTCTCCTCTTTTGTCGCCAATTCCATTTAAATTTACTAAAACTGTCCTTTTAAAATGAATAATGACTGACTTTCTATGGACCCATATTAAATACATTTACAGGAGACAATACTTGATTTATAAATGGCATCTTAACAAAAGCAAGCTGAATGCTAAGTAAAACCGTTGTAACCAGAACTTCGAGTGGAAGCAGCTGTGTTCTGGACCATCAAGCAAACCAGGTGTCTCCAAACAGTGAGGGCACCCTGCCTGCTGGGCCTTGGGCCCCGGCCAGCTGCTCAGGTGCAGAGCCATTCGCATCCCAGAGCTGACAGCTGCCCAGGATCCAGGGGTAAAAGACAAGAGCCCAGTTCTGGCAAACCTGAGGCTCTGGAGAAGGCCTGAGGGTATTAGGTTTTCCGTGGCAGAAGCTGGCAAATTACCAGAGAAACAAGCCTGGTCTTTTATTCACTCCCCATGAGGGTAAGACTGGGGCAGCTCTCCCTCAGGTCACCACCTGCCCTACCATAACCTCCTGGCAACTCATGAATGACACCACTGTCCTTCACGCTGGCCAGAAGCCACGGGGTCAACTTGGACTTCTCTCTGTGCTCTTTCCACTGTCCCCAGGACAGTGGATCCTGGCACCTCTACCTCCTTCACCAAAGGTAGCCATTCCCTGCCTCTCCCTTGCCTGGACCTGTAAGACTCTGTCTCCAGACACTGCTTCCTCTCTTCCTTATTCTTTAATCCTCTGAGCCATCCACAGGGTGAGGGCAGCCTCCCTGATGAAAGCCTCCAGTCAAAGGAGCTGACCCTCCAGGCAGTAACGAGGCTGAGGACAAGAACTGGGACTGTGGAGCAGCTGCCAACCTCATGAGCCAGCCCAACCTTACCCAGGGGCCAGGACCGGGCATGTTTGTGAACTGCCTTCATCAAAAAGACCCAAGAATTCCACAGCAGGGATCCGCCCCATGATCATGGCTGGATGATGCAAACTTCAAAATAGTGAAAAGAACATTTTAGTCTTTTAAAAATCCCTATCCTTACCTTAGGGCCCCCATTCTCCCTCACCCACAGGGCTCCCGTGTCTGTTTGCCCCAACTCTTCAGCAAGGTGCTGCTGAGCCATCTTGCTACCTCCTGCAGTGGCCATGGTGTACTCATCATCACTTTTACCTTCCCAACCCATGTGGTCAAGACGGCCAACCTTCTAACAGCTCAGCTGCAACTCAGAAATATTTTTGTTTCTAGGCCTTAAGTATCCCATTGAGTTCTCACATTTTTCAGATGTGGCTACAGCATGCCTGTACCTTGGCTCAGAAAGCTAAAGACTTGAATAAACAAAAGTTTAGAAGTGGGGAAAAAAATCTTAAGTGAAAGGGAAGAGTGTTTTAGGACAGCATTTTGGATTCTAAAGCCTCCAAGGTACCCATAGGCCACCACACACGAGTGACATTTGCCCAGCTTTGTGTGTGGTGTGCTCCTCTGCAGGAAGATCACACTGGACTCCCAGATACACTTCACTGGGCGGGGCCTCCTGCCACGCAAAGCACTGCCAGGCCGCACGCACTCCGTACCTCCCTCGGGAGTGCTGAAGGCCCTGTCGGGGCTGGCCGGGCCCTCTCCCTTCCCATTGACCACGCGCACGTTCAGGGCATAGTGGCTGAAGGGCTCCAGGCCGGGCAGCATGCCGTGGGTCTTGCTGCCCTGGAAGGTGAGGATCTTCTTCTCAAGGTGCCGTCTGTTCCTCTGGGATGCACTCTGCGCCTTCCAGTAGTAAATCTGGAACAGCAAGCACCAAAGTCAGGGATGCAGGAGTGAACCCACACGGTTCCTCAGGTCCACAGAATAAAACTGCTGTTTTCCCAGAAAATTCCCTTGGTGCTTTTTAAAAGAAAGCTAGTTGCCAGACGGGTGGATCCTGATTCTGAGTAAGAGGAGCAGAAGCCCACAGACAATGAGGAAACGGAGACCATCTGACAAAGCTGGGCTACACTATGCTCCTGGAGGGGTGAAAGTGAAATAAACAAAACCAGGTGAGACCCACACGTTTCTCTCCAGCACACAAGGCACATGGATGACAGCAAAAAGGATCGAGGACTTTTATAGGCATAAAAGATTCTAAAAATAAAACTACTGCGCAATGTATAATCCATGTTTGTGTATAGTGTATTATTTAAATTATTTTAAACACTGCAGAGAGGTTTTTTTATTATTATTCCTACGGTAGAAGTGAACCTTGGCTCCTGGTGGTTTTCCTCCACTGCAGGGTAGGGCTTTTCCAACAAGCTAGTCTGTGTCACTTGATGAAACACACTTATTTTTTGTAATAAATTATAGCCACAGGTTTGGAGATACCTGCAAACAATTCTGGTAGAAAATCCAGCATTATCGCTTATTAAATTCTCATAAACTCTTAAGAATTTAAAGGTATTTTTCAAGAGAAGTCAACCCATATACAGAATGTGGCCACTGTTGGGGCCCAATGATGCAGTACACAAAGTGACCTCGAGAGGCCAGTGTTAACACATTAGAGCAGTGTGCGTGCACAGGGGTGCAGTCCTTTAGTTGTTTATCAATCAAAAATCCCCCTGAATACATCTTTCGATGCTTATCAATAGCAAAGATAATTGATATTCATAAAAATGATGAATCTGAGAATACATACACATAATCTCGATTATTTTGTAAGTGTTCCTATTACTACCAGGATAGTTTGTAGCTCAGCACACACGGTCCATGTTACTTTAAAGCTAAGTGGAGTTTGTTATATGTTAGTGCTTTAAAAATTAGTTTTCCTCATTTTGTGCACACACTGCTTAGTTCACAGAATTTTATATGATCTGTGGGAAAAATGGAGAAAACATTTTTTGTTGTTGTTTTGACTCATTGTGGATGAGTAAGATTTCAAGTTACCTCTAGTCGGAGTCCTTTAGATGTCACCTGCCTGAGGCAGGAAACAAAGAAACTGATATCAAGAGTTCATCAAGAGAGGAGCAACATTACTCCAGCCTTGCCTACAGTGGGTGGCAAGCAGTATCACTAAGGCCCTGGGACTAGGAAACGATGTGGCACGACACCCTTTACTTGCCCGGTAGCCTTGTAGGCGTCCTCGGATACTTTTCAGAGGCACTGGGTCCCAGTGCACCTCAGCCAAGGTACTGTTCACCACATTCACACGCACATTCCCGGGAGCCACCATTGGGACTGCAAAAAGGACAGGGAAGGGGGTAGAAGAATCAGTATTATTTTAAATTCCGTCCAAATATATCACTATCTATAAAAATTTTTACTTGAAACATGCCTCAACCTGTGCTATAGGATCTTATTCTATACATTATTAAGCATTGACTGTAGAGTTTGTTTGCTGGCTTTCTTTGTTTTTTTTTTTTTATTTTTAAGAGAAAAAAAGCAGAAAAGAAAATCAAAAAGCAAGAGACAAATAACAACAAAACCCCCCAAACAATAATAATATAGGTTTTCAAAACAAGATGGTAGGAATTTAACAGTGGTTGTTATACTGCATATTATTATCTTCAAAAGAGTTGGTTAGATTACCAGGAATAGACCTGTAAAATTGATCTGATTGTATGAATATTAACTGTTCTTTTCCAGGAACTAATAGAATTAGTAACTGTTCCTTTAACGTTAGAAGCACCACTTTAAAAGAAAAAGTCATTCTCTTTAATCCCTCTGATTCTTACTATTTTTTGGAGGTGCTGGGATTGAACCTAGGACATCTTCATGCCAGGAAAACACTCTACGTCTTAGCTATGCTCCAATTCTGAGTCATCTGTTTCTTGCATGGCATGCTATTTAAATTCAGAGTTTACAAAAATGGTTACTGTCGCCATCTGTTGCAAACTTGAGCACCTCTGGAAATATGTTTGATACATTGAGTCAACTTGAGAAGTTTAGAAGTTTAACTGAGACTCAGCAGGGAGCCAGGATCCTTACTTTATAAATATCCTCATCCTATGCAAGAAGAGGGCACAGAGATTTTGTGAGTGTCACACTGCCCTGTGTGGGTGGACTGTAAGGGAGGAGAAGAGGCTTGTTCTCTTCCTCTTTCCTCTGGCTGCTGACTTCAAGTATTGTCTTAGAACCAACTGATTATGAAATGGGTGGGAAGAGTCCAAAACTGTAACCTAGATAAACCTTTCCTTCCTTTATTTTGGGTGTCAGGTGTCTCATTTTAGCCATGAGAGCAAAATAACCAAGATGCTTGGTTTGTACCTTGGCAGGTTGTCCTGCTGAGGAAAAGTAGAGGAAATGGCACGAGACACTTACGGTCTTCTCCAGAATGTCCTGTGACTACAGCTGGCTCTGGAGCAAACCCCATGACATTCAGAGCCTGAACTTTTATCAGGTAGGGGACAAAGGTTGGGGTGCCGGAGACAATATATTTGGACACATTTGCCACAACCACAGATGTCCATTCATCATCGCCATCTTTTTGGCGCCAGCTCACTTTGTACTGCAGGCCTGGCCCATTCGATTCAAAACCATTCAAGGGCTAAAAAAAGGACAAATATCCAACGTTATAAAACACATTGATAGAAACAGTGAGTTCAATTCCCAGGCCTAAAGAAAGTCAGCACTGAAACCCTAAAATACATGCTATTATACCATTTTCTCCAGAGACTTCTTATCTTTTTTCATTCATGATGAGACTCAAAGCTTTTCAGGGATTAACATTTCAAAGGTTGTAAATTATTATCTTGAAACAGTGAATACCCATAAACTCTTTCAAGGTCTGTCTCTGTAGGAAAGGGTGGCTGCATCTGACACATTCTCTTTACTTAGATTCTTTGATGCATTTCTGTTTGTATGATAGTTCATCTTGTCCATTTTACCTGGAGACTAAAATGCATGAACTACTCTCCTTGTTAAAATAAGTTGGCTTGTTATTCTCACTTGATTGTGTATCTGTAAATTATAACTACAAACACATCTGTGTACATATAAGCAGGCATGTTGGCTCTAAGACTTTTAAACTACACAAGTAAATATATGTTAATTTTCCAAATCCAGAAAATGCAGATAAGCCTAATAATAATAATTAATAAGTGGACTACTGAGAATTGCTTGATGCATGTCTTCCAAGAGGTTGTGTGTGATGATAACACTCACTACCATATTTTGAGTACAGATAGATATTATTGTAGATGCTTTATATGCATTAATCCCTCTAATAGAATGAAGCTCATTCTATTAATGTTATCTTCCTAGAGATGCTCAATAAATATTCAACAATTAGCTTAAGATCACACTGTAAGTAGCAGAGGTGGGATTTGTATTTACTCCTTCTGGTTCCAGAGATCAAAGTTATTACCTACTACCCAATACCGCCTCTTAAATTAAGATATGTTTTCCCCTAGGAATGGGTGACATGGGATTTTAATGCAGATATCGTTAAAAACAACTTTTTTTTCCCACTCTTAAAAATAACAGAGGAAAGCTGAAGACTTTAGAGCTCACCTTCCATGTAATCACCAAATTATCAGGCTCTGATCCCAATCCTTCCACAGCTGTAGGATTTTTATCTGGTTCTAGAAGTTAAACAGCCACATGTGTGTAAGCTTTGCTTCTTGGCACAGAGTGCAAAACTTGTCCATTTTGACTCCTAGTCCTGAAGCCCTGCTTTACCTGCGGCTTTGGTCTGGTACTGTTCGGAGGCCTCGCTGGGCAGGCTCCTCCCAATGCTGTTCTCGGCCATCACCCGGAAGGAATAGTTCACGTATGGAGACAGTTTCAGCTGGGCTGTGGTCTGCGTTCCAGAAACCTCGGCCTGGTGGTGCCACAGCCCTGCCTCATGCATGGCATCTTCATACTCAATGATGAATTCTGGACACAATACACACAACAAACCCAAGACAGCAGATGCAGTCAACCTGGGGTAGACTGCTAGTGAGTGAGAACTAACAAGACAATCAACAGCAGCCAAAAGCAAATTAATTTACTTTGAAGGAAAATCCCCTAATGAGACAGAGAAAGGAGAGTGGAGTGGGTGGGAAGAGCCCAGACAGCACAACAGTGCTGCATTTGCTCAGTCAAGTCAAGGAAGGCCCCGTAGTAAAGTGTGCCCTTGATAAGAACTCTGCCGTAAGGATGGCTGAGCTCAAGGCCCCTTGCTGCATCCAATTACTGGAATACCCAGGGGACATGCGGCCTCCTGCACACACTGCTGTTTCCTTCTTAAGAGAAGGGTGTCATTTAATATCCTCGCCATTGGCTCTCCCTTAATGGTAGACTGCATGTGTATGTATGTGTCTGTGCATGTATTTGTATAAACAGTATATGACAGTAATATGCAATATCATAATATTAATTTTATCATCTTTATCCTGATCCAAAATAAAACCTCCATAAGAGCAGGGACATTTAAAAATTAATTTTAGAACAATGTGTGGCATGTAATTGGCATTCAATAAATATCCAGTGAACGAAGGAGCAGAAATGCCTTGAGACCTATTGGTAATATTTTAATGTAGGCCACAAGCATCTCCAAGCACTGTGACCAGCCAACTCCAGCTGACGTGCTGGATTAACAAGAGATTCAGCCTGTCCTGAGGCAGCACACCACAAGATCAAGTCAGAAAGGGCCACTACTAAGATAATCTTAAGCATTCATCAGAAGGACATTCAATCTTCCTGCAGTCTATACCTGAAGGAAATAATGGATTTTTGGCGTGTGACTAGTTTTTCAATTAAACCTCTGTTACTATCTTTATTCTAACTTACTAAGCTCTTCCAGTGTCCTAATGCCTTGACTTCTCATTTAATTTTATTTCTTAGGGTCTGAGGTCTACACACAGTTCTATTACCAAGTTTCAAATTTCTTGACACATACACATACAGATATTTATCTATGTCTATATATATAGTTACATATATATAGTGGGACCTTTCAGCATTGTTTCTCCTATCCTCTTCTAGATACAATGAGCAAAAAAATAACTTACTAAGATACATCTTCTACCTCTGGTAGAAATTTAAAGTGGTTTTTAAATACACAATGATGGTCATGTATTTGCTGGATTAATACCTTTAGCCATAAACCAGTATCCTGTTCTAGAACCTATAATCAGAAATAACACTGTCTCTGAAGATAGACATAAATAAATATTTTTGTTTTACCAGTAATGGATCATAGAATGTCGGTGAATATATTTGTAAGGAACTGAGGCTGCATATTATAAAGCATTCAAAAAATGGTCACGAAGTTTATCATTCAGTTTATCAGTTATGACAAAGCAAATAATACCACACACTTGTAATAGGGCTGTTGTTGTCATCTCCTGGGGTCCACGAGAGCTGAACACTCTTGTCCAATTGATCAGTCAATTCTAAATCAAAGGGAGGACTGGGGACATCTGTAGATCAAACACACACACATTATGGTTAATTATTCATTCTTAAAAGGTTTGTCTTTATGTGTGATATTTTCACAGAGGGGACATTTTAAAGAACAGCACACTTAATGGTCAATGAGCATGCAACAGAAGTGAAACGGAAACCACTGAGGTTGCTGGAACACAGGAATACGCTGAGGACAACTCACTGATGAGTTCTGCTGGTTCACTTTTCAAGAGCAGTGAAATCACTTGTAACCAAAACCAGTGGGGCAGACCTGCGTGGTTCATCAGCACTCTCAGTGTGTCTTAAAACATGGACAGTCACAAACATAAAGATATTCCAGACTCTGATTTTAATCCATGGGAAACAGAACAGAACAGAAAAAGCTGGAAAACAAATACAGGTAAACAAATTGCACTGTTTCAAGAACATTCAAATGCTCTTTTCGAAACATGCTGAATGATAAATTGTGGGACTCCTGAAATAAGATACATATAATATCTAAAATATAGTATATATATATATGAATATATGTGAATACATATGTATATGTAGGTAGACCTCAGCATGCTCAGGTGTGTTCACTCTTAGAGGCTTTTTGGGACACAGGTAACTGGAAGCAGAGCTGCTTCATCAAATGGTGCTTGTGAGGGCCACACAGTGAGCTCGCTCCCCTGGGCCTTTGTTTTGACTTTGCTTCTGCAGGTTCTCTGGCTCTTCAGGGACTAGAGGCCCCATACATACATGAGGTCTTCTTTCTTATCAATAATGAAGTAGTGTCTACAAAGGCCAGGATTTCTACGTAATAATTAATGATACTTTATAATATGTAGCTGAGATATTGCCACAAAAGTAATTTTTGAGTTTATGTGCTGAATAACATGTTTCTAAATCAAAAACCTTGCAGGAAATAATTAGCGATTTATTTTCCAGTCACAGAAACATCACACATTGATGTGCCCCTCCTTTTAGTCTTTCTTCAGTGACTTCACTTTTGCTCACACACACCGAGTTTTTTCTGACATAAAAGTTAAATGTTGTTTTAAACATCCATTCTCCCCCACTGTGTAAACTTTTTGAAAATGTAGTTCCCAAGCAACATTTTTTTCCCAAAACAAATTTTAGTAGACTGAAGTAAGATCTAATTAGTGGACTGATTAGTGGATTGATATGAGAAATCAATTTTTCATTCTGTAATATATGAATGTCGGTTTTTGATAAAGCACTTTGATACAAGGCGATTGTATCAAAGCAGGACTTATCAAATAGAATGACAATAATAGCACATGAAATATTTAGAAACAGCTGGCAATAAACTCAGTGGAAAATTCTGAAGTGATAGTGAAGAAATGATTTATTGCAGTAAATGAGGGACACAACGTAACAACTGACAGAGTCCTTTTCCTTAAAGAAACACAATAATGCGACTGAGAAAAGAAAGTAATGCTTTCTGCAAATGTGAAACTGCTTGACAGAAAATAGAGAAAGAAAGCTCATATTAGTTTACCGTAAATGGGAGCTGGAGTTGGAGTAGGAGCTAGAAAGGACATTAATATAGAGGATTTTAATCAAAATTAGTAATAGGAAGATATAAGGTAGCATAAGATGACATAGATTTTACATGATTAAGATTATACAATTAAACCCTATGCTTATCTATGAGACACACAACTGATCAGCATGCAATAGCAACTTTGGGATTTTTAAAAACTTTAATTTCAAATAAAAATAGATTATTTCTCCCAATTTCCTTCTAACAACACCTATGGTACACACATACCACTTTATCTAGCCCTATACGTAGCATAACGTACACTGAAATTATCATCTCAAAGGCATTTTCTAGAGAGGAAAGTAAAGGTATTACTCTCCATGTTACAGTCATGAAACCATCCAGCAAAAATTTAGTACTTATTTTGTCTCCTTTTCAGTCTATCACAGGCAAGTTGGATGTGTCCTATTTGCTCTTGTTCTTACCAACAACACTGAGCACAGCACTGGCAGAAACCTCATCCAGAGTTGTGTTGGCCACACATGTGTAGATCCCCCCATCGCTGTCTCTCACATCAGTCACCACCAAGTGGTCCTTGTCCACAGTGAACCTGAAAACAGAACTGGCTCAGAGCAGCCAAAATGGACATCCAACCACAGCCTGAACGGCATGAAAATAACTGTGAATTCGATGAAAAAAAGGATGATACACAGTTCAGCAAAGTGTGGTGAAAAATCCTACACACATTTAATTTTAATAATAATTAAACTCAGCAAACAATTAGAATGAATGAGAATCACAGGTAAAAAGGCTATTAAATATAATAGTTTTCAACCAGACCTCTAGAATGTCATGGAAGCTTCCTTCAAGTGCCTTGAGCAAATATGATGCGCCATAAATAAGCATAATTACTGCGTACCAATTAAAAAACAAAATAAATTTTTTTGAATAAAAGTCCCTACGAGTGTCCACAGATGAGGTGGTGGCAGCTTTCTGGTTATCCTTATAATAGTGCTTTACTATTCTACTGCTAAGGAATGTTTGAAAACACTCAGCTCAGTTTTTATCAAAGTGCATATTTTTAAATAAATTATTATTTACTGCAGAAATTTCATTTTTTGTCACAGGAGTGAATTCTCATAGGAGAAAGTAAATGCAAAGCAAATTCCTGTTTATCATGAGAAACAGGAAGATTCAGATCAGCAATTTCCATTGACAGCTTTCCAGGGGTTACCTGCAGACACAAAAAATTGCTCAGTGGGTCAAAAGACAATGCATGCAGGATTCACGCATGATTTTAAGGAAGCTGCCTAAATCGTCAGCTGTCTTCCCAGGTAATATCCAAGTCATCACTCCCCCGACTTAACCTGATGGTCATTTCTTCATACTTCTTTCTCCACCTTATCAAGCCAGATTCCACATGTAAGTGGAAGCACAGGCCTAGGTGGAACTATGGGCACGAAGAGGGCAAGGCCACAAAGCACTTCTGGGACCACTAACAGGCAACGGGTTCCATGAGTCACCACAGGTTTAGGTGAGCTGCCAGCAAACCACAGAACGATTTCTACCAAGACACAGCACTCTTTCCAGCACAAGGTAATATCTGTAGCTACTGTGATTGCTGACATCACACATCCAGCTCTGTGTCCTCACTGTGTTTGCTGTGTCAAATTGAGGGCCTTGCTAGAAAATGGAAAATGCTATGACGCTTCTTCCATTGCAAGCTAAGGGATTGCAACATGCTCAGATTCTTTTAAGTTGCTTTAATTTTACTCTTCCTTCCCCTTCCACTGGCATTAAGTAAAATGAAAAGAAAACTTACCACCCCAATAAAAACGAGTGTCTTTTAAAATACTGGCAAGGATTCAGGTACACTCTGATAAGAGATCACATTCCTGCTTATTTGCAGAATGGGAATAAAAACTTCTGCTGAGATTTTACTGTTCAAGGTGCAAAACAATGGACAGTGTCAAAGCTTGAAGGGTTTTTCCTCTTCCCAAATTACACTGAACAGCACACAAAGGAAGACAAACATTCTTAGGGTCTTATTTCAGTCACCTGAATAACCTCTTAGGTACTAATACTGTACAGCAGGAGGAAAAAGTGTACCTCTTTATTTTATGGACAGCAGACTTCAGAAACTAAAACATCGTCCTAAGTCACTACACAGTCAACCTTTAGCTCAAGAACAGTTTCCAGAGAGAAAGAAAAGAGAAAAAGAAATCATCTTCAAATACCTTTCATCATTGGGCAGCTCACCATTGTCCTTCAGCCACGTGACAGTGGCAATGAGGGTGTGATCGTGTTTCACTTTGCATTCAAAGGACACCCTGCCCCCTCTCTGCACAACTGCGTATTCCGGCTGTTTAAGAATCCTCGTTGGATCTGGAGTTCAAAGTTAATGTTATGCATTGGTAAACCTGGAGAATTTGCTTAAAGTCATATAACACTTGAAAAAATTTTTATTACCTTTGATTTCTAAATGAACTTCATTCTTTGCCACTCCTAATTTATTCCTGGCAACACATGTGTAGGTTCCTGAATTGTCCTTTTGAGCCACAGGAATTTCTAAAGTTCCATTTTCGTGTATTACATAAATGTCTTCATGAAGAGCACTTCCTTTGGCTCCTTTAAACCTTTATTACCCAACATGATGAGAATAAGACACATCATAATTTGAAGTCACATAAAATGTCATATCCAAGGTCAACACAACTGTGGTCTACATTAAAGTGTCAAGTATAAAGACACTTGGAATTTGTAAAAGCACACTACAGACTTGTAAGATAGGCGGTAAATGAATGAGGAGACATGAAACTGGAGAAATCAATAATAAATGGTATTTGTAGAATTAGGATCATAACAAATAACATATAAGTTATAATTTTTTTTTTTTTTTTTGGTATGGGGATTGAACTCATGACCTCGAGTTTGCCAAGCAGGCACTTAACGCCACTGAGCTAAACCCCTGCCCATAAGTTGTAATTTTTATGAGATCTAAATTTAGTAAACACTTTATTAACTATTTTAAATAGTGACAAAATAGGCAGAATAAAGACTGCTTCATATATATATATTATACCCACCTGTGGTATATTTATAATTCTATGTACATACTTCAATTTTAAAGAATTTTATTTCAATGCTATATGGAAAGGACGGCTAGGAAAATATTCAGGAGAGGAAAAAAGCATGCATATCAGAGGGGAGAAGTAAGAACAATGATAAGGGACAAGGCAAAGTCAACATACTATCCAAGTGTTAATCTTGTCACCTTAAGTAGGAAATGTACAAAAGCATTCCTGTTTCTCTTCTCGGTGGTAAAGGTGGGGGACTGAGGGAACTTTTCTTTCATCTTAAACCTGTGTTCACTGTCACTGACATAGTCAAAATCCAGCACAGCATCGGGATGACCTCACAGATGACCAATAAATGACTCCCAATTGTCTTTCAGGCACCCATCCTCAGAGGTTGCTTATCCTCGCAGGGTCTTTCCTTGCTCTTTAAAGCAAGTTTGCAGGTAGAGGAGGATTTGTACCAGGAGTGGTGTGTGAAAGGGAGTGGTCTGAAGTGGGCAGGGAAAGCACACCAGAAAGCTTGGCTGGACCCAAGTCTGGAGGGTCTGGAGGGAGAAGGACTAAAGGGAAACACCCATGACAGCTAAGTCAGTGGCTGAGCTTTCAGAACCTCTTCCTTATTCCTCAGGATACTTTATTATCAAGGAGTCTTTCAACAACCAGTCCCTCCAGCTTCTAGTCACACAGTCTCTGGGGATGTCTAATGATATTATAAAATGTAGCCGACTTAAAGTAAAAAAATCCATTTATATATAGCTTTGCAAATGAGTGAATTCAGTAGTTGATAGTATGATAGTTATGCACTGCATTTCTTGTGTTTGTTATTTGACTACAACCCAATATATTTAGAATCGTAAAGGCTTTAGCAAATATGAGCATTAAAAAACATATTAGGTAATTACTTACCACTCAATGGTGGGCAGAGGAGACCCAAAGAAAGCACAATCTAGGAAAGCAGGCCTGTTTGCAATGACCTGGTAGAGTGTGTTTGCAGGTGTGAGGATTCGTGGGAGCTCAGCTGAAAACATTACAAAAGGTACAATAACTATTAGGACACACTTTAGGTTTACCATGCATTTACTGCTTTTTATTTTAAGGTCAGTAAGTGTTATAGTAAAGTACAACTAACATGTCTCTTCTCTTATGTTCGCTATCAGCTATGACTTACCAGTCACTCAAGGTAGAGAAAACATGGTTTCCTTCCACTTTCCTCAAGTTCAACACCAGACATTGTTTAATGACTGATTTACTTATCTGTATCTCCTTTAATACTGTGAGTTCTTTGTGACACCCGGAAAAAAAACTTTTAATCACTGTAACTACAGAACAGTGTCTGACACAAAAATGTTGAATGACTAGGCCATCATTACCTAGTGGGCAGGGATGGTGGAGGACACAAGAATTGGCAGAAAGCAGTAGAGTAGTGAGTTTGGTGACTGAAAAGAAGAGGGAACTAAAAAGTTTCCTACAGCTAAAAAACAACAAACCCTCGACTTCTGGGAGAACAAGGCAGATAGATAACAGCAGTTACGGAGGCTCTCTGAGATACCCAGCTTAGAATCCAGGAATGGTGCGGTGCGAGGAGTCCTAAGCAAGGGGAGATGTACCCTGCCAACCCAGGAACAAACTAAGCTGAGAGAAACCAACTAGAAAAGCAATCCTGGTGCTATAACCGGAACATATAAAATCTCAACGCAGAAGCTGGAACCTATGCCTCTGGAAGCCGTGATTTGAATTTCCTGCTGCCACTGCTGCATTCAAATTGGCACAACAGGGAGAGAGATGCGTGAAAGCTCTGAGAGCAGGAATCAGCAAACAGAGTTGAGAGCCCAACTGGTGGGGAGCCCTGCATTGACCTGTGGTGAATGAGAGGAACGGGGACCCTTCCATAGACTAGGAGGCTCCAAAAGAGGACATTCTGGGACTGGGCAGACAAGCCGGAATAGGACGTTGCAGTGACTTTAGTCGCATATTCCCCTCTCAAGCGGGATTGGTGCAGAGCGCTTGGCCTGGGTGACACTGCTGACTAAGACCCAGTAGGCTAGCCCAAACCAGGTCCCAGCACCTGGTGGTGCACCCTAGCAGTGAAGCCTTCGGTAGGTTGACCTGGAGGGGCGGGCCCAGCAGAGGCTGCCCAGGTCTGTGTCTCCCTAGTACACTGCAGTGGGTGGGAACACCTAGCCAGCACAATTCAAACAAACTGTAATCGACAAAGAAAAAAACTGGGCCTCCTATATACACTTGTATGGAAGGAACAAAAAGCACGGGAAGAGAGAGCAACAAGAAAGGGTCCTCAGTCCCCAATCCTGGGAACACTGATCCAGGAAAAGTAAATGCAAAGGAGAATGAGGACAGAAAACATGCACTATCAAGTGTTTGCATTTTTTTTTTTTTTTTGGTCTTTTTCGTTTTTTATCGGTACCAGGGATCGAACTCACGACTGCCTGCTTGCAAGGCAGGCGCTTATGTCGCTGAGCTAAACCCCCAGGCAAAACATGCACTATCAGACATGGTACCAACAGACATAAAGTGATATCTCTGGAGCCTCACAGACGAGTTCAAAAGTGAAGTATTTAATGAAATAAAGCAAGGTATAAGTAGAATAGTTACAGAAATGCTAAGCACCTCCCAAGAAAAAACAGATGGTGGAATGGAAGAACAGAAAAAAAAAGGGAGAATTATTTGATGGAAAAAAATAGAGAAAACATAGAATACATGAAGCAGGTTCAAAGAGATTACCAGTAAACTAAAAACTCTACTGAAAGCTGGCATAACAGCTTGAAAGACACTAAGGATAGATTATCTGAACTGGAGGGCAGATTTGTAATGTGGGAGCATGAAATGAAAAACTTCTTAAAAATAACAAGGAAACAAACAGCAATAATACAAAGGCTAGAAGATGATAAGAGGATCTGTAACTTAAGAATTAAGAACATAAAAGAAGATGTAGGGACACAAACAAATGAACTACAAAAGCTATTCACAGAAATAATCCAGGAGAATTTCCCTAATTTAGCAAAAGGTAAAGATACTCAGATGTATGAGGCATACAGGACCCCAGCCACCTACAACCCAAACAGAGCTACACCCAGGCATATAATAATCAAAATACCAGAAATCCAATATAAGAACAGAATATTAAAAGCCGTCAGAGACAAGAAGCAGATCACTTACAAGGGAATACCCATCAGAATTACAGCAGACTTCTCGGCACAAACCATCAAATCACGAAGAGCATGGGGAGAAATAATTCAAGCTTTGAAAGATAATAACCTCCAGCCAAGATTGATATATCCTGCACAACTTTCCCTAGCAATTGATGGAAAAACAAGGTGCTTCCAGGATAAAGAGGAACTAGGGGAATTTGCAACCACCAATTCAACTCTACAGAGAATACTGCAGGATATTCTAAAAAAGAAAAATACCAAGATTCCAGAAATAGTGGCAGAGAGGCCACAATGAATGGAGCAGAAAGAGAAATGAAGAAGACAAACTGACAACGACAGAAAAAGAGCTCAACAGAAATGAGGCACAGAAGGTTGGATGGTAGAAACAGCAATTTTGGAGAAAACAAGACATCATAATAGCTAGTGCTGATTTAGTATCATCTTGTTTTGAAGTCCCATCAAGCTTTTGTTCTTCTGTCTCCATCAGTCTTAACAGGTTGTATCTTATTGGATTTTATTATATATGATAATATAAACAAAAACTTTTATAGACAAGGAGATGAGGGAGCTGGGGATTTAGTTCAACAGCATAAGTGCCTGCCTTGCAAGCAGGCAGTCGTGAGTTCGATCCCTGGTACCGATAAAAATGAAAAAGACAAAAAAAAAAAAAAAAAAAAGGAGATGATACAGAAACCATTGTTCATTTTTCTGATAGTTGGTTCTAAATACCCTGTAATACTGTCATTCTCTTGAATGGTTTTACATTGTCTTGATATGTTTGGTGCTGCAGTATATGAAGTTATACTCAAAGATTTCAAGGAAAGAGACACTATGGTAACTATTTTTATGTCAGGATATCTTGTGGTGAAACACTATTTTGCTTAAATGGTTATGTTTTGACCTGTGCTGTTTTGTTATTATGCCCTTTTTTATCTCAATCTCCTTTTTTAAATTATTTACTTTTTTATTTTTATCTTTTTAAGGGAAAAATAAATAAAAAATAGCAGGATATATTATAGTAACCCACTTTGATTTCCTATTAACTTGATTTGAAACCCTGTATTGCTCTCACCATCTTGTTTTGCCTGATTTTCCCCTATTCTGCTTTGCTTGATAGTAACAAGTTCGAAAGTATAGGCAACAACTGTGAAGACAATAAGATTCATTATGACGCCTATTCTGGTTGACTATTATCTTCTTTTGAATGTCTCCAATGTTTTGGTTTTATTCTTTACTGTTTTGTTCAATTTTATTACAATTGATGATATAGGCAATTCTTTTTAAGATAGCAAGAGGCATTATGGTAATAATTGTTGATCACCTAGTATTTTGTTTTTACATTATCTATTATGTTCATCCTTTTGATTTGACTGACTCTGTTCTGTTATGTCACATTTGGTTTTCCTCTCTTCAAAAAAAAGTAATAAGAACTGTGGGAGTAATAAAACCCAAAATGTGTCATTGTCATTGTACAAAAGAGAGGAAAAGAAAGTGCTCTAAAGGATATAACTGCATGTATATTTAAGTGTATAAGATAGATAACAATATTACTGAGTTTTGGTGGATCATTGAACAGGACTGTTTGCAGTCTCACTGTTTGGAAGTCCACTTTATATGCTTTAATTTTGTAACTTGAACAACTATTTCTAAGATAACAATATGTAATCTATTAACTAGTGATTTCCTACTGTTTATTTTTTCTGAAATTCTGTATAACTTGTACCCTTTTTCTGTTTTTTTTTTTTCTTTTTCTCTTTAAAAAAAAAAAGAGAAACAACAAACCTAAAAGACAGCCGGTGGGATGGGAGAAAATATTCACATGCCACACATCTGATAGGGGATTAATAACCCAAAATTTTAGGAACTCAAACAGTTTAAGGAATAGGACGAGGAGACAACTTGATTTTAAAAATGGACAAAGGACTTAATCATTTTTCAAAAGACGACATACAAACGACTAACAGGTATGTGAAAAAAAAACGCAACTCAATATCATTAGTCATTGGAAAAATGCAAACTTTAACCACAATGACCTGACTATTGGTTGATACCTGTCAGAATGGTTACTATAAAAGAAGATAAAAGATAATCTTTCAGCCTTAAAAAGAAGAAAATCCTGTTGTTTGTGACAACATGGACAAACATGGAAGGACATTGTGTTGAATGAAATAAACCAGACCCAGCAAGACAAATATTGCATGATCTCACTTATATATGTAGAGCCTAAACAAGTACAACTCATGGAAGTAGAGACTGTAAAATGAAACCAGAGTCAAAACTGCCTTCTCAGCCTCCACCAGGGTTTTAACTGGTTCGCTCCCTGTATGATTAAAGAAAGACCTTCACTTCAAGCATAAAGGAAAAAGACCAAGTATGGTTGGCTTCCTGGTGTTAAATTTGTTTGAAAAAGGCATATACAAATATTAAACAGTTGAAGTATAATAGCATATAATTCTTGCATAGATTTTAATACATGTGATTTTTGGTAGTTTCTCAAATAATATAAATAGAGCATTCACATAAGCCAACCATTTCAGAATATGCTTGAGACCTATGTTTTATCATAAATTTTCTCAATATATCTGTTTAAATTCAGTAAATGTATACCCCAAGTTAGATAAAGGCCAAACACTATGATTAGGGGTTTATTTTAAAAAATCAGAATCATACAAGTATTATTGAACTTAATCAGTTTCTAAGGCCGGAATAGAAATAATATTCAGTTGCTAATAGCAGACAAATGTTATTTTCCTTTTGAGGGGTTCCATCTGTGGATGGAAGAGCCTGGCTGATTATTCCTGCAACAAAGAATGTGCCATTACGAAAACCTGTTATGAAGGAACACTAAGATCACACTGTAGTATTCTCAGGGCAGAGTCTGCACCTTATCCACCTTCATATATTCCTTATATTCTTGCTGAATGAGTAGAAAATAACAGCAGTCATTAATTTAATTTGCCATGTCTTTAATAAAGGGAGAGCTTACCAAGCACGTTGACAAATGCGTTTGCCAGTAAATATCCATACTCATTAGAAGCATTACACTGATAAACTGCACTCGATCTTTCTTGAACATTAGAAAAAATTATGGTATCACCATCTATTCTTCTGCTGGGGTCATCAGGAGCAACTGTTTCAGTGTAAAAATAGAAAGTAATGATTAGTTTCTCTCTGCTTAATAGATGTATATTAGACTGGTAAATCTTGAGGTCTACCCTGTATAAGTAAGACACAAATACAGATTGATCTAGGCATATGTAGCAAGAAGATGACTAGAATCCAGGCAGATGCCGACATTATTTCCTTATCAGAATTTAGCTATTACATATCAGCACACATCTATGCTCATTATTCACTGAGTCTTCAATGGGTTGATTCTGTAAAATGGTGTATTATTTTGAGAGATGCACAGAAGACAAGGTTAGGTGAAAATTGCAACAATTCAGAAAAATACTGTCTTGTTCACTAACAGACTGATTATTTATGAGGGATCCAGTTAATCATTAAAAGGAGAAAAGCAATAGTTAGTTAAAAAAAAGAATACTCCAGCTCATCCAGTCCCTTTTAAGTGCCTTTTCATGAAACAAATAAAGAGATGCATACATATGTATAGGTGGATTATCAAAAGTAAAAATAATTACTTTCTTGCTTTGGAAATTCCTGAAGCTGAAGTAGAAATCAATTGTGTAAAATTTCTCTTAAAGACAGCCTTTTCAACTAAATCCCTCAAGTACTTAAAACATGTTAAGACCAGGATTTATCCTTGCTGAAGTGGAATAGAACTGGCTGGGTAATATAATATGTGAGGATTTACTCTAAGTCATGCCCAACAATTTGGAACTGCTGTGCTATTAGAGATGAATTCCTGTTTTGTGAGTGTTAAGCCCTACGCTGTGACCTTACACTGCTTTAAAAGTACACGGTCTCAGCACGCTGATCAAAACCAAAACTAAATAACAGCATTTCTTTCTCTGAAGCTGCATTTGGCACCTAGAGCCAGTTGAGAGGGCTTTACTTTTATTCTAAACACTATTTTTTCCCCTTAGGTGATGAGAAAAAGATGTTCATTTAAGATGTACTTATCCCTTCATGGAGAATTCTATCACTTTGAAATAAAAAAGATTTGGTTCACTTGTGATTTATTAATTCACTTCAATAAAAATAAAGCAAACGATAGTTATTCATCCTTGTTTTGTTACACACACTAAAAGAATTGTGTTTATTCATTTTGTAATAGTTTTCTATTGTGGTCTATTATGCCAATTGACCACAAACTTAGCTTAAAACAACACAGATTTACTACTATAGTATTTGGTTCTACAGGTTTGAAGGCTGACATGGGTCTTCCCAAACCAAAATCAAGGTAAGGCAGGGTTGTGTTCTTTCTGGAGGTCCTGGTGTCAATACCCCTGTTATCTTGTTTTAACTGATTAGACTCTATTCTGCTCTGTATGAAAGTATCAAGCATCAGAGGATAGGCAACTACTTTGAAGGCAGTAAGATTCACTATGATGCCCATTCTGGTTTGACTATTATCCTCTTTTGAGTTTCTGTAAGATTTACAATGTTTAGGTTTTATTGGTCTTGTTCTCTACTGTTTTGTTCAACTTTATAATACCTAATGAGATAGACAATTCTTTTTTTTTTTTGTCTTTTTCCTTTTTACCGGTACCAGGGATCGAACTCATGACTGACTGCTTGCAAGGCAGGCGCTTATGCCGCTGAGCTAAATCCCCAGCCCCCGAGATAGACAATTCTTAAGGAAGCAAGAGGCATTATGGTAACCATTGTTGATAACCTTGTACTCTGTTTTTACATCATGTGCTATGTCTATCCTTGGTTTTACTGACAGCTTTGTTTTATCATGCTTGATTTTATTCTCTTACAAAAAAAAGTAATAAGATCTAAGGGAACAATAAAACCCAAAATGTGTAAATTTTATTGTAATAAAGAGAGGGAAAAAAAAAAGTGCCCTAAAGGATACAACAACAAGGGTGTTTAGGTGTGTTAAATAGAAGACCATATTAATATTTTTGATTGGATTACTGAACACAACTATTTGCAGTCTCACTGTTTGAATGTTCACTTTGTATGCTTTGATCCTGTGACCTGAAACACCGTTTCTAAGATGATAGCATGTAATCTATTAACTGGTGATAGCTTACTGTTTTTTTGTTGTTGTTTTGTAGTTTTGAATTACTTGTACCCTTACACTGTTTTGTTTTGTTCTGCTTTTTTCTCTTTTACCTTTTAAATAAAACAAAACAAAACAAACAAACAAAAAAAACCCATGCCCTAGCGCCTTCGATGTCCTGGAGCTCTCCATATTCCACAACCCATCTTCTCTTCTTATCTTCAAAGGCCTCTATACTGCATCTCTCTGACCATTCCTCTGTAGTCACATTCATCTCTGACCACAGTCAGGTAAGGCTTTTGGCTTCTGAAGGCTTGTGTGATTAAACTGGCTCCAAATCTTGGAATACCTGAGGACCATTCCAAGGTCCTTACCCTTAATTGACATATGCAGAGTTCCTTTTTCCATGTAAGGTAGGATTTTCACAGCCTTCAGTGATGAGGATGTGGACATCTTTGACAGTGCATTATTCTATCTACCACATACTCCATCACATTTATAGCCTAAAAATCTTTTAGATGTTTCAGATCAGAATATTCTAAAGAGACAAACTCTTGGAGATGGAGAAAAGCATCAGAGGGAGCTGACAGAAAGGAGGGTAAGAGGGAATTGAAAATGATCAAGATATATCACATTATAGGTACCGATTTTTCAAAATGAACATCATTATTCTGTGCGGCAAGCAACAAAAAAAATTAATGCACCATAAATTAAGGCTTAGAACAAAGTTTTTAGTTAGCTTTCAAGGATTCCTAAAACTCTTAATTTCTAAGCTACTCTTTGTGGAGTGATTAATGCCTTTATTCTTGAGCAGGCAAGATAAGATGTTCTTTTTTATGTTCTTTTTAAAAATGTTTTATTTAAAGAGAAAGAAAAAAAGGGTAGAAACAATACAGAATTTCAGAAAAATAAACAGTAAGAGCATGATAAGATGTTCTTACAACTATGTTCTTATGTATGAGCAATAATTTCTCCAACTGGCTATAGATTTACCAAAAAAGATTGTAGAGGATTGCAGTGTGACACTGGCCTATGAGTGTAGCAGGAAACCATGAGCCTATGTTATGGCTTCTATCTGGATATCCTCCCAAAGTCTCATGTGTTCAGAGATGGGTTAGTTTATGGGGATACTACTCCTGGCTTGGTGTACAGCTGATTGGAAAAGGAGAGTAAGACATGAAGGGTGCATCTCCTTCCTTGCTCTTCTTTTCATGCTCTGCTTCCTAGTCGCCTTGAGGTTAGCAGCTTTTCTTCTGTGATGCCCCTCGGCCATGCTGCCTAGGAGTCAGCACACTCTGGACTTAAACCTCTCCAAACAATGAGCCAAACTAAGCCTTTCCTCCTTTATGTTATGGGCATCAGGTATTTTTCCTAATTGTGAGAAAGTGATTTACATTCTTATTGAGAATGACATTAACTGAAAATGCAGTGTGTGTTAGGATGGTCCATGATCCTTGTCTTGGATCCCAAGACTTGTATTACCAGGGTCTTTCTGACTCGCACACTGTGAGAGACACCCATCGACTGGCCCAATAAGGAAGCATTTCTGGAGACTCTGTCCATTATTTTTTGCACTTGTAGACCCAGCTTTTGGGCACTTGTGTTGGTAATCTGCAGTGGACTTTTGGTATCAACTACCCTGCAAATACGCCAGGTGGAGGAATACAGCACCAGGCATGCAGATGTTATGATGCACAGGCAGAGCTCTGAGCCAAATCTCTCTGAGCCTGTGGATGACAGGCTGTGGGAAAAAGCTCCCCACATTCCCTGATTATATGAACCCTTAAAAGTCAGATCCACCCTCTGATGTTGAATAGGCATAGGGTTCCAGTTTTCGCAAGATGAAAATGACTTGCAGACATATTGTGTAGCAATGCAAATACACTTTAACAATAATAATAAAAGTTATACTACCATGATCACTGAGATATAGCTCAACTGACAAAGCCAGAGGGCAATTTTCTGCAAGTGGAGATTACTCAGTCACAGACATAAAACGTTTCTGTAGCTCTCAGTTACATTTTTCTTTGGTATCAGCTCTTTGGGAAAACATTCTCTCCTTGAAAGATATCTGACTCTATCTGCCTTATTTATGCTACATGGAGCAGTCTTCAAATATTTGTTTTTGGCAAGATACTTAGGAATAAAACAGTTATACGTTAGGAATGAGAAATGAGTAAGTAGATCTCTTTCCATGGGGGTCTGAACTACATTTTCCTAAAGCACTTCTTAAAGAGATGCAAACAAACTCAGAAACTGGCACAGTGACATATGGAGTCTCCATAGGTAGCTGGACATAGAACAGAATCACTATACTGAGACATTTGAAGCTTTTGGACACTGTTCTGGCTGCTGGATGGGAGTGACTCACTAGCTTGCAAACCTAAATTATCTAAGAGAATAATAATTAATTCTGAGAACAACTAATTTCATTTGCTATAAATGAACAAGGGAAAAAGAAATTTAAGAGAATGGTCTCTTGATATACAACTATAAGCCCCAAAGGCAAGATTAGCACTAGGGTGACAGCTTTCAGAAACAGATTTTTTGGTCTAACTTTCCTGACATGGCTAAAATTACAAATATTTCCAACACTTAATGAGAATAATAATAATAATACCACCTTATAAGTACTATCAATCTTTAGAATGTTTTTACATTCTGTTGAATAACTGTATTTTACAAAGAATTTTATCAGTTAGTTTAATCAGGTAGTAATACATTACAGTGAGACCTCAGTTCATGAATACTTTGGTTTGAAAACAGTTTGGTTCACAAACAGAAACACTGGGAAAAATTTTGTTTTTCTTTGTGAACTCTGCATCAGGTGACAGTCATGACTGCAGCCATCCTTCCTGCATGAACATGAATGTGGCCATCTTTTCTAGAATTTTGGAACGAGTTAATTTTGTCAACCAAGGCACAACTGTAAACACATTTTGGGTATGAGAAACTATAGATGGGAGCATTCAATTGTTTGAGATTGATACTCAGGTTTTCTGAGTTGTTCAACTTTGTAAGTATTTCCTGGAATATGAACATTTAGCCATAATGTAGAACCAATCGGGGTTAACACTTGAATCTCTGTCTTTATCCTTACTGTACTGCATCACTTATAAGCAGATGCCAACTGAGCCCTTCACTTTTGTGAAAAGGAAGAAGGATCAAAAGAATGTTAGGACTATCATAGACTAGGCCTCCACTCCCTTGGCTGCTTACCAAGGGTCACTAATTTTCAATCTCTCCATTCAGGGTCAGCAAAATGTTCAACTGTGACAAGAGATATGCCCTTTATCATGTTCTTAGTTCCCTTTCCTCCTCATATCTGAGAGGAACTAGGCCCTTTAATATAAAAATAGTTGGATCTTTGCAGGAGAGTGGAGATCCAACATAACTCACATGGTGGAACATTAAAGGTCCACCACTATCAGCCTTTCCTGCTACCTGTTGGATAGGGATCATGCTGACCACAGCCTCGGCCTTGGAGACTACCACCAGGGTGGCATGGGAAAGACAAAAAGCCAAAGGAGGAACTTACAAGCATGCATCTAAGAGTGACTCCAGAGTCCAGCAAAGTGACTTCCTGGGGTTAGGAAATGCTTTTCTTGCCTTCCTGGTAGCAAGTTCTTTTTCTTTGTGGGCCTGCCTTCGTCCCTCTAGGATATTGCAAGTCACACAGTAAAACAAAGCTCTGCCTTCAGCACCAGCTCTTACGACTGTGTTATTTCTGACTTCTGTAGATTGTTTTAAAACTATTCTGGATGGTTTTAGGCAAATTCCATATTTAACACAACCTGTTATTTTCAAAGGAAATTTTAAGTAATTCTACAAGTGTTTGAGGAGAGAGGCTGAGCAGCTTTAGAAGCCACTGATATATGAGCCCAAGTGCTTTTGGAAGTAATCCTTCCAGTTTTGTAGAACAGGAGGCTCCAAGTCTGAAAACACAGTCACAAATCAATGGCATCACACATTGCTAGCAAAATCCAAGTCTGACATCACACTCCCCCCGACCTGAGCCTGGTTCTCCATGGACAGCATTTGTGTGCACTCAGCAGCCAGAGTCTGTGGGGGAGAGGAGGGGCTGGTGTTCTTGGCAGATGCCCACAAATCAGGAGTGGGAGGCTGTGTGTCTGGCAGTACGGGCTCCTGACTGTGTCTCTTCTGTGCGGCTCAGAGGATGAACCCCAGGCACCTGGCAAGGATGCTGCATGGTTCCCAGCAGGGTGGTGCTGCGGAGGCACAGCTGTTCCCTGGCTCCTCTCCCCAGCAGCTGGCCCACCCAGTTTCTGCAGTCTCTTGGGCAGAAGGTGTTGCCAGAAAATCAGCTCATGCCCCAGCAGCTTCTGGGGCCATTGCTAGTAGCCCCCAATGAAGGTTAGTGATCCTTTCCAAACTCATTCAGTGCCCTTGTGGCTGATTTTGCTTTTGGTCTTACCTTTGCCCCTTCACATCTTTCTGTACCTTCCCCCCATGCCCTGGAAGTGCATCTGTGGGGTGCCCAACGCAGAAAACAAACACTTTCCCATTTCCAGAATGGTCCCCAAACCTCCCTCAGAGGCAATTCTGTTTATGGGATTCTCTAAATTCATAGGGCAACTACCAAGCAGAGTGGAAAGGGAAAAGCACAAGAAGACTCCTCGAACCTCTACTGATGTTTCTGACAGTTTGCTTCCTCGTTTATCCTTATTTGGATTAGGGAGGTCACTGCACAGTGGGGGCATGGTCATGTCCACCTGGGACACAGGTAGCATGACTTGGTATCCTCCCCAGAGGGCACTCAGCAGGAGGCATACAAGGAGCATCTGCTGAAGGCAAGAGCAGGGAATGACTGTGCCTTTCAGTGCCATCATGCAGGGAGTGGGCAGAGTCCTCAACAGTCCGTCACTTCCCTGCACACTGCCAGAATGTCTGCTGTGAGGTACACAGAGGTTACCTGGCCTACAGGAGCTGGAAAATTTCCATCTTATCCACTCAGCCTCCTTTATTCTGTCCCAAGGAGACTTAAAAAATATTTTTGGGATGGAAGAAATAAACTGCTTTGGATCTGATTTGAGAGATTCCTGCTCTGGACCTGGCTGGGTGATTTGGGATTCTGGTAGAAGGGCCTAACTTGTTTCCTTGGGATCACTGTCCTTTTCCCCTTAAGCAGGCCCCTTGCAAACTTTTATTTAAAAGACAGGAGTGTCTACATGTACATTTTCAAAACTCTTAATACAACTAGAGTTCAGGGTGCCCTCACAGGCTACACTGGCACTATAGGCTAAGTGTTGAAACCTAACTCTCAGGGTGACAGTATTAAGTGGAAATGGCCTTTGAGGAGTGATCAAATCACAGGGGGTTCCAGCATCATGGAATGAAACTGGTGGCCTAATAAAGGGTTTGAGGGAGCCTGTTTGCTTCTTGCATGAATGACGTGAGCATGTATAAGAGGCAGCACCTATGAGCTATCACCAGACACTAATTCTGTGGGTATCTTCATTACAGAACACCTATCCTGATTATAAACAATAAATTTCTGTGGCTTATAAGTTACCCAGTCAAAGGTACTTTGTTATAGCAGCAAGAAGACAGGTAACTTGCAAGGACTGACAAGCAAACTGGGAGGAAAGATTAGACATTATTTAATTTCCCACATAGATCTCAATCGTCCCTGCTTAGATCTGCTTTTTGTCTGCCAAGTGCAAGGATTTATTCCTTCCTCGTCCCCTGGCTCCCTGTTTTCCCTGCTGAGTGGCTGGATGCGAGTACCCTCCTCCTTGTCTGTTTTGCTGAGTAGAGATCTTAGAAGCATATTTACCCTTCTATAAATCATAAAGATGCTGTGAGCTGAAAAAACAAACAAACAAACAAACAAACAAACAAACAAATAACCATGGTGAAAAAGTGCCAAGCACACTCTATCACTTATTGCTATTCTAGATGCATTTCTAAGAAAATCACATATTGTACCGTAAGCTTTCTTTCAGTTCTGAGCTTTCTAGTACTTTTTTAAAAAAAATCTCAGTTTTCACTCATAATCCTCTGAGAATGGCAAAGTTTTCTGATAGACAACCACAAAATGCCCTGGATAAATTCCTTAACCAGATCATGGTGAAGATGGTTGAATATAAGTACATAAACCCCATATACTGGCCTCTTTAGAATCTGTGAATATAGCTGATCTAGCAGTAAAGACAAACTGACTGTTTCAAAGTATTTGACATCTACTGCACTTCATGACATAAGGGAACCCCCAATAATGTTCCAGTAAATAATTATGGAACAGGGTGGGATTACTCAGTCACACCTTGATGATGGGCAACAGGAACTTGTGGCATATTAAATCTGACCATTTTCTGATCCATCTTAGGAAGCACAGTCAGTTTCAGGGAAGTCAGTTCAATGGAGCTTCTGGTTATGAAGAAGCAGAACTGATACCTGATTCTGATACAGAGACCATCAGGAGTCATCCTGCTTTCCATTATAAGTCTGAAGGTTATTCTCAGTGTAATTAAAGGATATCTTTGCAGATGATCCTGATACTGACTGTGAGGCTGGGTTTAAAGCAAGAACTGATTTTCTTTCCCTCTATGAGTCTGGAGGACGTCTGAACTTCAAGAGGGAAAAAATGTTCAAAGATTCTCCTGGTGGGAACAGACAGTGGTAAATAGTGGCTGGAGGAAAGGAGAAAAAGAACAGCTTGGTGAGCTCTCTATTCATGGGCATGGCTTAGATTCCAAGGGCAGTGATGTGCGATTCATTTGAACTTCTTTTTTTCTTTTACTGTAGTTTGATTCTAGTATCTTCAAGTCTTTCAACAAGTTTTCTTTGCTGAGGTTTTGAAGATTAAGGGAGAGGCCCATGGTCACCCTTTGGAGGACCACTGTAGGCAGCATAGTAACAGGCTGAAGAAGCTGACTAACAGGAAGGAGCTGCGAGGGGAGCAGCAACAGGGACAATGGCTTAGTGGCAAGCCGGGGACGTTAAGTTTTGCTCAAGAATAACGTTAGTTAAAAAAAAAAAAAAAAGAATAATGTTAGCTAACACTTGGGGAGGAAAAACTGGGAGAAGACTGAACAGGGTCAGGGCCAGGTTGTTCTTGTGGTATTAAATATGGCAGTGATTTGTGAAGAACGGATAAATGAGATACCCGGGTTACTCTGAGGACTGAAAACTCTAACTTAGGCAGCTGTGTTTCTCATTCTTCCACTGCCAGCTCTCTGCCTAGCCTCCCTGCCCATCTCCGCTGATTCCTATGAAGTTTCCACACATCACTTGTTGTGAACAAAGAAGATAATCTGAATGCTTGGTGGTGTTTATTTCTGACCCCGTCATTTTCCCCAAGATCCAAGTAAAAATGGGAAATACTGTGAAGTCCTGATCAATGCATACACCATTATTTTAAAGTACAAACTATTTAAAAGCAACAAAACTTCAAAGGTAATCTTCAAAGGCATCTGTTTAACCTACATATGGTTTCCTTCCTTAATCAGAACTATTCATCACCACCTGCCTGGAGAGGCAGTAGATATGCTCTGGGAATATTCTGCAACTAGAGCCAATGAAGAAACTTACTTTCTGTCGGAACTCCATTTGTCAACCAGCTAATTCTGGGTTTGGGGTTGCCGTTAGCTCTGCAGATCAAGGTTCCATCTTCACCTGGGGACAGCACAAGGTTTCGGGGTGCCATGATCCAATATGGAGCCGCTTGATTGAAGGAATAAAAACAGACCAAAAATCTGACTCAGACAGTATCACAGTAAAGAATATACTGAGCTATTTTAAAAATAAATATACATATTTTATAAAAGATCTAGTCTCAGTTTTTTTCGGAGTGAATAGATTTATAAGCAATGTTTCCAAGAGCACTTTGGGTATTCAAAAGAGTATTAAAAGATTCACAAATTTAAAATCAAAGACCCATAAAATACCTATAATTATAAAACTAGGAAGCAATTTTTTTTTATTCTTGCAAAGTTGCAAAGGTAGTATAGAGAATTCCCATACTTCCTTCACTCGGGTTCTTCTAATGGCAACATCTGTAGTTGTCAAATAAGAAATTAACATTGCTATAATGCTATTAACAAAACTACAGGTTCTATTATGGTTTGCCTAGTATTTCCACCAAAATCTTATTTTTGTTCCAGGATCCTGTCCCAGATACACACTGCACTGACTTGTCCTGTCCTCTTAGTATCTTCTGAGGAGGCAGTTTCTTGGTCTTTCCTTGTCTTCCATGATCTTGACATGAATCTGTACTTTGGTAGAATATCTCTCACCCAGAATTTGCCTGATGTATCTCCTGGTTAGACTGAGGTATTGGGTTTTGGACTCAGGTGGTGGTGGCCCTTCTGACTGCACCAGCTCAGGCAGGACGTGAGATCAACCTGACCTCTTACTAGTTAAGGTGGTGCCTACCAGCTGTCTCCCCTGCAAACCTACTACTCTTCTGCACTGCGGAACCTGTTGGTCAGCAGTGAGCCACTAAATGTAGCCCGTATTCAAGAGGAAAGGAAGTAAGCTCCACTTCTTTGAGAAACAAATATTAAAGAATTAGTGGACATATATTAAAAGTACTCCACGGCACTTTGAAGTTATGCAAATATCTTATTTCTTTTAAAAGTTTCACTCACTAATCCTAAATCTTATTAGTGTTTCTTTCCTGAAGCGATTATCATGATTGGGTTATAATGGTAATTTTCTGGTTTTTTTTTTTATTCCTGTAAACTTTGCTAACTGGAATTCCTTTGTGAGAAAGATTTGAAGGAGCCAATCTTTAACTTTGTATACATGCATTATTGATAGCAATGAGAAAAGTTTCAAGGCACCATGAATACTGATACAAATTCATATTTCACTATTGAAGAACATGACAAAGGCATATTAAATTGAATTTCAGAGCCTTTCATGAAGCAAGAGGAAGACATTTAATATAATGATATACCTTTGACAGTGACAGAAATGGTATGACGAATGATTCCTAGTGTATTTTTGGCTATACATTGGTAATTTCCAGAGTCTGCTTCTGAAACTTGAATAATCTGCAAGGTTTTTTGGAAGTTCCGATAAAAGGTCCGGTTAGCAGGTAGTGTTCCATCTTCTTTTATCCAATAAATAAGTGGGGTAGGTCTGATAGAATAAACAATGATATGGTAAAGAAAAGTTTACGTGTGACTACTTTTGAGGGTATATTTCATGCAAATTTATAATAAATCCTATAAGAATCCATAAAGAATATGAAATCCTACAGATACTTGAATTGTCACACTTTTCTAAGTAATGTTTAAAACCTATACTTGAAAGGGCAAGTTAATGTTTTCACACAGTCAGAACCATATTAACTTATAGCACACCCTAAACCCCAACAGCACAGTGTTGCTTGAGCTGTTTACTGAAGGAACTTTATTTTCTTCAACATTTTGCTCAGTGAGGAACTCCTAGACATTCTTACATGAAGGTATTATGAAGGTATTATTACCATTAGTTAAAGATGCTTAGTTATAATTTTTTATCAGCTAGAGTTAAAAATGCATAGTGTAAGAGCTCACATGCATATGTGTGTCTATGAACTTACACACACATTTCCATATTAGATGGAAGTAATTTTTGTTTTACAAGAGACTATCTGATGATGTGAATTAAGTGATTAGAGGATCAGCATTCTCCAACTTAATTGCTAGAGATAGTCAAAATTACTATAGCAATTATTAAGAATAGGCTGAGTTAATAATATTCTATTACTTCTCCCCCAACCGTGTTTCTTATTGAATCAAGAAATATGGAAAAAGGTGAAAGAAATATAGGGTTGGAATTAGATCTTCCAAGTTCAGCCCTGACCTTAAATTTCTCTCTGACCACAGATCCTTGATCTCTTTGGGCCTTAGTTTTATTAGTTGTCTTAATGGGGCTAAGAAAGCTTGATGTGATCTAACAACTTTAGAAGGTTTTCCTGAGGGTAAGTCATTCAACACCAACATTGGTTAAGCACTAAACCATGAAACTGGTATTAATTTGTGTGTTTGGAAGATGATGAAGGAAGAATGATGATGGCCCTCTAAAATCTCAATACTCACCGTTAGCAATGCAAGTAGGTTTAACTAACAGTCCGCAACAATGATTTTGGTTTGGATAAATAGAAATAACCAAGAAAACATATATATGTGTGAATACATATATTTGATGAAATATATATATATATATTATATAGCTTCCAAAATTAAAATATGCTGTGAATTTAAAAATGGTAGAAGACGCAGAATCACTTTAAACATCTGATTAAATTTTAAAAACTAATTTTCATTTCATGGATATGAAGGTGAGATGGGACAGGGCTAGAAGAACAAATATAATAGGTCATAACTTACAAAGCCATGGGTTGTTTTGGAGGGCTACTACTCAACTGAATTAGTAATATTTTGATTCTATGAGTCTAATGCTTGTTGGTTTACAAGTGGTAGAGTCTTCTGGTTTTACAGCATTCCAAAGTTTTAAAAATTTTTTCTGGGGCTTTGTGAAATTTCCAAATACCACCTGTATTTTATTGTGTATTTTATTTATATAAAACAGATTGAGCACACCTAATCCAAAAAACAAAAAGTCCAAATTACTCCACAATCTGAAAACTTTTTAAGAGTCTTGTTGAAATTCCACTAGTAAAGCCTCTATAAATATTCCAAAATACAACAACAAAAAGATCTGAAGTCCCAGACACTTCTGGTCCTAGATAATTCAGAAAAGGGATATTCAACTTATCATTCATCTGTGGGAAGATGAGTCACTAAATAGTGAAAATGAGCACTTCTGCTCTCAACAGGCTGGAGTTTGGCCGTTAAACCACTTTCTAATGAAATGATGAAAATCAAAAGTTTTTTAAAAGTTCTGATGGAAAATATGGATTTTATTGTTACATTTTAAAAAGTGGAGTCGCTAGTTTTCAGTGCGAGTCCGGGTGTATCCTGCGATTTCCACACGTGCCCAGCAGAGGCCTCCACACGCCTGCTGAAGCACAGCTCCTCCCAGATGAGCAAACGGTGTGAGATCACCCAAAGGACCTGGCTGGGACAGCACGGATTTTCAAATGTTGAGGCAGGATTCTGGACTCCCATTTGAGAATATCGGTAAACATGCTCATGCTGATGTGAGGCTCCAGACCAGACTCTTAAGAACTCACCATTAATGTCCTAAACTAACCGTTGCTCTTGTATGGGCGGTGGGTTGGGGAGGTCTCCCTGCAATGCCTATCAGCTCTGAGGTGTATGTGCTGGATGAGGTATTTCAAAGAACAAAGGTTGACCTGCTAGTGGGGAAAGATGGAAGGGACAGAGTGTGCCAGCTGGGAGAGTAGAGCCTGAAATGCCTGCGCGCACCTGCTGTTAGGAGAAGGAGCCACAGAAGGACTGTTAGAAACTCAGAGCCATCAGCTCAGTTGTCCCAGCATGGAGCCAAAAGACCCTGGGAGACAGAAACCCACAGCCCAGGAGATGCATGCGCATGCTTAACTTCACTGGTTAACAGTAGAAGCACCCTGCAGTTGCTATATAAACAATCAATGGTCAACAACTATTATTTTTAAGCTGCTTAGTTTCGAGGTGATTGTTACCAAAGTGAAAAATTATACTCCATTATTATAACACAGTGATCATAACATGACTATTACCTATTTCAATATGAACACCATTACATTAACAAAATAATTTAACAATATCACAAGATTCATACAGTCTGCTTTGGAAATAATGATTAAATTGTTTTTGACGGTTGGTGGAATTAGTATAAGACAATGACTCTTATGACATTGAATGCCTCTGACAGTCTTTTATATTTTTATAAGAGTTGTGCATGGGGACTGAAAGTATGAACTCACAGGCCTTCTGCAATGCACTCTAATGAAAGCACATTTCCTCTTAATTCCTCTTTGCGACTCGCATTGCCTTCTGGAGTTAAAAATGTTGGTGGCCTCTCTTTACTTGATTTAGCTGCAAAGAAGAAATCAATATGCATTAAAATCATGAATATGCATTTATAGACACAGTTACTGTCAAAAAATCTGTCTAAAAATCCTAATTCCTGTTCAAATCCATTTAACATTGATTATGTCAAGCAACACACAACCATTCTCTGCCTTACAAATGGCCATCACTCAGCTGGTAAGCCAGGAACAGAAACAACTTGGATTGTCCAAGTTCTTATAGTAAGGACTCTTAGCCTCTTTTTTAAAAATTAAGGTTAGGTTTTTACAAATTTTCTTTGACTTTTACAAATTGTCTGTGCATGTCTTTAAATTACACATTCTTTAATGTTAGTGATCTGATCAAAGCAAAAATTTGCTATCTATCTTCTAAAAGATTTTAGGGTTTTTAGCAAGGTATCATTGTGAAAGAGGTATTTTGCTTTACACTGGGGGTAATATACAGCCAGTTCCACTAATTAATATAGCAAGACTTGCAAGCTGCAAGGATTATGGAAAATAAAGCAAAGCTAGAGTTACTGACGGAGGTCTGGGAAATTGTACACCTTACATTAAGAATAACGATGGGCTAGGGCTATAGCTCAGTGTAGAGCGTTTGCCTAGCACGAGCAAGACCTTGGGTTCACTTCCCAGCACTACTCAATAAATGAGTGAACAGGTAGAAGATCAGTTTCCTCAATGACAAAATGAAGATGAACCAGGTCAGAGATCTTAGGGATATTTGTACAGGCCACCTGCTTTTCTGTGTGGACTTTCCTAAAACATGGCCTCATCTTCTGAAGGCCTCTCAGAATAGCCGGAAGCAGAAGTTCGCACATCTTAAGGTTCTATGGTCCTTCAGAGTTTCAACTTGGAGTAAATATCTGATCCTCACAAAAAATTGAAGGAAACTTTTGGATCTATATGAATATTCTTATTTCTCAGAAGAAAACACTGACCACTGTACCACATAATACCTCTTATTATTTAAGAGAAATTAATGCTCTTAAGAGTCAAAGATTGTGGGAGCCTTCTCTAAAATCACTTTTGGAATAGTCTGAGGGCCATGTTTTTCAGGAGTATATTAACAGGTAATATAAGGCATCATGTCACTGATGACACTGTAAAATTCGTATTTCAAGGGTGAAAATTTAATAAAGCAGAAATGCTGCTCTATGGATAATTAAGAGGATTCCAGGTCCAGAACACTTATTCACTGACAGATTTTATATTTGAGAGCCACATTTTTCCTCAGGAAACACTTTTTTTTTTCAGTTTAAAGGGATGAAGTTAAAAGCTTCACATTTAAAAAAACCTACCTCCACTTAAGATAGTGACTTGGTTTTTAAAAAAAAAATCAAGAAAAATAATATTGCTAGTTATATTGAATAATGTCATGTGAAAATGGATGGAAAGTGTGACAGCTTGCTACAAAACCATTTGTTAGTTGCTAAAAGCTCTGATGAGTCAGGCTTCTAGAAGTTATTGTATCCTGGCCAAGTCTTATTTAGTTCATGAGAAAAGTGTATGAACAGGACAAAGAAATGGTTCTAATGGTATAATTCTGAACATATATGAAGGATTTTTTTTTCCAAATCAAGGGAGATGGTTTTTACATGAAAACAGCTATAACAAGTTTCATTATTATACATACACCATGGACAATGTTTTAGTGACATGCTTGAAAGTTGATAGCTAAATTTCATAAGAAACATACATTCATACAAGTGGTATTAAACATAGAACTAGAAATTTCGTAAAGAAATAAAAGGTTAAATAGCCATGGAGGTGACGTTAGTGAACTAAAGTCTACAATGAAGGAGAGAGTATCAGTTGCAATCACCATAACTCACCACCATAAAACTCAGTGTCACTCAAATTAGCAGCTATAGTGTCATTCAATTCATCCACTGAAATAGACAGAATATCATGAAGAGGGCACAAAAACAGGGGAGAAGGGTCAAAAACCATTGGGCTACAAAACAAGTGTATATACAGCTGTGCTAAGTGCCATCCTCCCCAAGTAAAAGCGTTGCTTTATACTGCACATGGCTAACTCCTTCATTCAGCTAGCCACCCCCAACCACTAATATGGGAGCCCTGCTCTTAAACGCAGACCTGCCAAGGGAAAGGCACCATGGGGCATACACCACACACCCATGCTCAGAACACCAATTGGTTCCAAGGGTCGTCAAGGAAACTGTAACATCAACGACAGCAAAAAGTAGAAAATACAGCACTAGGGTTCTGCATTCTCTTTCTAACACATAGGCCAACATTTTAGTGATTGCCCACAGGTAGTTTCCTGATCAAGGAACCTATTTACCTCAGAGTCAGTAGTGATTTAATAGTCCACATTTTTGTGCATACAGGTAAACACTTTCAAAGAGAGATTCAGGAAACTGAACTCTTACCCGAAATCACCTTCAGAGAAATAGGTTGCTTCTGCTGTATGGTTTGAGTGTGATTAAATCTGGCATAGCAGATATAGTCCTCACGGGTGTCTTCTGGGAGGACGTTGGAAAAATAAAGGTCTCCATTCAGGCCTTGGGAAACCCTCTCACTTTGCGGAAGTCTTTGAAAGGCTGGAGAAAGGCAGAGGGATTTCCAAGTCATTTCATCATAAAGACCTCACTCCAAATTAGCAAGACAAATGCTGTCACTAGTAAATCTGCAGACTTCATTTGAACATATTTTTTTCTATAAAGCTCTTTAAATAAAAGCAAATAATTTTTCAAAAATAATGTTAGGGTTACTAAAATTCTAAATGTACCTACCTGCCCCTAATTTCTCTGGGTTTAGAGGCAAGATTAAAGCCATACTGTGAAATGTTTTACTAAGCAAGTATAAACAAACAAACAAAAAAAATTATAAAAACTTTGTGTGACTGTTCCTAATATCTAAATTAGTCCATAACTGCATGTACCTTAGAAAACATATTAAGGAGGCTTGTAAGGATGCTAACATGGCCTGCATCTACACACAAGCTAAGCCTTGAACAAAGAACTGGCATGCTAGAGTCCCAGCCCTATCAGAGCTCCCGAACTAATTGAAAAATTGTGCAGCAAATGAGCAACAACAGGGTGCAATGATGACACGATTTAAGCTGAGACTAGACCTCAGACGCTACCTGGGTTTAGGTTCCTTCTCCTCCTTTTTCTTTTCTGAATTATTTATTATCTTCCAACATACTGTACCTTTCACTTATCACATGAATGACTTACTGGCTGTCTCCCAGCATGGGAATTTAGTCACTTCCTCTCCTGTTGCAACTCTGGACCCATACCTCGTCCTAACAAGTGACTTCCTCACATACTTGTGGAAAGACTAAATGTATAACCAGCATCTGACTTTCCAGTTTCAGGCATGACAATTTACTTCCTCTAGGTCCATTTGAGGAGCTTTTTAGCCTTAGGCATATAGAGATTATTTCTTATTTGGATAAAGGATGCAAGGATGCAGGACACCCTGATCTGTGCACAAAATCACTCTCTGCCAACTAAAATGTATTCTAGCCAGGCACAGTGGTGCATGCCTGTAACACCAGCACTTGGGAGGCTGAGCAGAAGGATCATTGTGAGTCCAAGGCCAGCCTGGGCTGCAAAGTGAGTTCAAGGCCAGCCTGAACTGCATAGCGAAACTCTGTATCCAAAAAAAAAGACAAAAATTTTTAAAAATGCATCTTAAAACTCCTGACTCAGTTCACAGTGCTGGAACTGTGAGAGTGCTCCAGCTCAAAAGTGACAGGAAAAAAAAAAAATCTCAGATCACAGTGGCCTCAGGCCAGATGTTGTAGCTTCTGGCAGGATTTCTTCAGTTTGAGTCAAGCAGCATGCTCCCCCTGTGGCAGGTGCCTGCGCTAACACTTCATGAAATGTAAAACCTTCCAGCTCCCTCAGGCAGGAAAAGGAAGGGAAAATACAAAGAAACAAAACCTCTAGAAGCCAAAGCTTGAAAGAACATTATCAGGTAAACACGTTAACCAAGTTCTTGGTCAAGATGGTGCTTTGGTTAGTAGATGCAAATTAATAGTTTCAAACCATTAATCCCCTGGGAAAGGACTGTTTTAAAAATACTCATGTGCACTTATTTAATGAATACAAAGAACTAAAGACACATGTGTATTTTTGACTTTTGTTTCTCCTGCTGTACATTATTATTCATGAATGTTGGTAGACCAAATGTAAGGCTGTGGGAATTAACATAGTGTCATTTTATATATTAAGGTTGTTTTGTATTACTTGGAAAAAATGTATGCAGATATGAATAATTTTATAATGTCATCTTGCAAGAGTGTTTCATGGATCTAAAATTTTGTCATACTCCAGATGCAACTCCATTTGAAAGGTCAGAAACTTTTCCAACAGCCTAAAATGTATGTAAATGGCACAGCCAGATGGGCATTGTGGGGAAAAATCAGTTACAAATGCAGATGACTCAGACTTTACGTGTGATCTGTCTCGTATGAAGCAGGAATCATTGCTGAGGAAGAACCAGTGACCAAACACAGGGCCTCATCTTGGCCATGACATCTGGAGACTGTTCTCACCATTCTACCTAAGTGACTCTTGTCTAATCCACCAGTGACCTTCATGTTGACGAGTTCAGCAGCCATTTCTCAGTCCTCTTGTTGCCCGACTTAGCAGCAGCTTTTGAAAGACATCGTGTGCCTTCATGACACACCTTCTCCGCCTTGTCTCTCACAGCACTCTCTCTGTGTTCTCCTCTCACCTCAGTGACTCACCGGCTTTGCTGGTTCTCCCTGAGTTCCTGGACTTGGGAAGGCGCCTGGTCTCAGTCTCCAGGCTCAGCTCTCTAATCTGCACCCATTCCCTAAATTCCCCCATCCGGCCCATCGCTCTGAGGTTCCCCTTCTACACTCCAGCAATGCACACACTTCTGATTATAGCCCATGTTCTTGTTGGGCATCTCAACATAAATGTCACATAGACCTCTCCCTCCTCAAACTCTGATCTTAGTTTCCAAGCCAAATCACGTGCTCTTTCCAAGATAATATGCTAATTTGTTAGCATAAGAAATTATAGAAGGTGGAAGAGGCAGAAGGATAACCAGTTCCCTCAAGGATAGGGACGGGCGGGATACGCAAATCTGAAACTGCCTGATGGATGGCTTCATTTTTCTTTGCCTCACAAGTTTCTTCATCTGAATAGTAGAAAAAAATAACTGGACATGTCTTTTAGAATGGTTGTAAAAAATTAATGGGCCAGCCCATGTGATGCTCTTAGCAGGGGGACTGGTACTTAATTAAGGCCCAATAAACATAACTATTGTTGGGGATAAATGAACAAAAATATAACACATTCAAAACAGCTTGGTTTCCTCTCCACAAAGGTGTCTGTAGTTTCAGCAAATGGTAATTCCACTGCACCAGTTGCTCTTGATTTCTCACTCATGCTCCTTGCTATCCCTGGACCGTAAATCCTGGAGGCTCCCCCTTACATATCCAGAACCTGCCGCACTCCACCTGTATCGGGCCAACTCCAAGTCACCAGCGGCCCTTGCCTAGCTTCCAGCAGTGGCCCCTACCTGGACCCCCACCTCTCTCTGTCCCCTACAGTTCCACCCATGAGTGGAAGGAATGCTAGGACTGCAGATGACTTCAGGTCATTCACACTTTCCAGGCTTTCCTGGTTTATTGAGAGTAATAGCTAATGCCCTTTCCGGTGAGCCCCTGTGACTTCCTGGACCTCACCCTTCACCATCACCCTCCCCCTTAGTTCTCTCAAGCTGGCCACTTTTTTGTTTTTGTTCACACATCAGCCTCCCCCACTGGAGCTTGCACTGGTGCTCCCCTGTGCCCACTCAGATATTAGGGGCCTGGTTTGCCCCCTCATTCTCTTGGGTCTGGACTCAAACCTCTGTTTTTATTTTTTTCCCCTTCAAAACACTTATTGTTGATTGGCACAGATAATCTAAAAGCATTCATTATCTGCCTCCTTCCTACGTTCATTCACTTTCATTGCATAGAATCTAAGATCAACAACAGCAGGATATATGGTGCCTCATTTAGTAAGTGCTCAATAAAACTGAGTGAACAACTAAAATGACATCATCTATTTTAAGAGGAGGTATTTTCCTGAGAATCTCTAGCATACTTTATAAACACTTTATGAATCACAAGAGGAAATGTTTGTGATGGCAAGTAATTACAAGACTCCTGAAGAAAGAAAGTCCTTCTTGTTAAACTCACAATTATCCATCCAAAATATTATAGCTGGTGGTAATCCAATTGGAGGTCTACAGGGAAGCACTAATGGTTGGCCATTCTGAAGTGTTATTGGTTCAAGTTTTTCTTTGGTCCACAATGGTGATCCTATAAAAATAAATAACATGGGTTATTTCTGCATGGAAGAATAAATAGACAGCATTACAAAGAGAGGCAAACCAATTTTGGGGGGGAGTAGTAATATGAAATAGTTAAAAAAGACTTTTAAATATATTGTTAGAGATTTTTAAAAAACAAAAGATACTAAAAATATTCATTCATTGTACTGATAGTATAAATTCTGAGTAAGTGGATTCCAAGTCTAAGAATTTAGATTAAATACATCATCAAGAAGATACATGATTTTGATCCAAGTACGTTCTCTACAAAGAATGAAAAATGCTTACATATTATCATAAGGTTTGTCAGATAAGTAATTGTTCCTCTACATCTTTGAATAACATATAGTAGAAGCATACATATTGACAAGATTGATACAAGACTAAACATAATACTTCAATAAGTCAGGAAAGGTTGTAAAATAACATTTCAGCTGCTATTCAGCTGGTTTTATGAACATATATAAAAATTTGCCTAGAAAAAAGTAGAGAAAAATATTTGAGCAATAGTTATTTCCTTGAATGGGAGTACTCAAAAGTAATTTAAGACCTCTATTTTACTTGTAATTTTCCTTTAATGAACATGTATTATATACATAATTTAAAAAGTTTTCAAAGTGACCAGCACTGTACATGGTCATTATTTCTTAATTACATGGTCCTGAGGCTACTGATAACTATAATACTGACCACTGCAAAATGAGCCACAGTAATACCAAGGTAATGGGGACATTCCACTTGTAGTGAAATTTTGAAACAAAAACGTTAAAAGAAATCACTGTAGACTCATTACAGCTTGTATCTAGATATCCCCACCTTATGTGGACATAGGCGGGGAGTTTCAAAGGTGCTGGATTAGGGTGTGTGACGTGGACTGAAGACGTAATACAGGTGTGGATAATGGAAGGCCCAACCTGGGTTTGGGGGGCATCAATCAAGACGGTAATAACCTGGATGGGATACAAAGGGAGAGAAAGAAGGTGGACCTGCTGTTCTGATTGCTGTTTTGCTGCCTTCTGCTGTAGACTATTTCTTCTCCACCATGCTTCCCTGCCTTGGAGCCAGCTGGCTGTAGACTGGAACCTCTACAAAATGTGAGCTAAATAAACTTTCCTCGAATAATGTGTGGTTATCAGGTATTTTGTCCCAGCAACAACAAAATAATTAAGATGACATGCTTCTTATCATGTTGAACTTATTTTAATCTGACGGTAAGCGTTTTGCTTATATATAAAATTCATGAGCAATAAATAATTAGATAAAATCGAGTAAGAAACAGTTTTTTGGAACTTGCATCTTGTATTTAGAACTTGGATAAAGGACACACTGGATTAGCAAAAGATTAGGTTGAGGAGTTTAGGGGAAAGTAGAAAGGAGCAACAATTTTCGTGCAAAACAAAGTTGAACTATCAGAAACAATAGCATTTTGATGATGTAGCAGATGCTGAGTCTTAGAGAAATACTTTAGCAGGGTCACAGTTCCGTGACAAATCTCACTTACTGGATGGGCGTACAACAATGTTATTAGAAATTGCAGCTCCACGTTCATTCCTTGCTGTACACTGATAGACGCCTTCATAGGTCTCTGCTTTCCCTTCACTCATAATGTTGATTATGAGTGTTCCTGAGCCAGGCTTCATGGTGACCAAAGGGTCTTTATCTATGTCAAAATGAGTCCCATTGCGTGTCCAGGAAAAGCTGCCCAAATCATCAAGAGTGAAGCTTGTTAATGGTTCAAAAAGGGCTACTGTTCAACAAGTTTCTAATAAGTCTTATGGTTTTCTAGAAATAATTATCACACTTTTAATATCCGGTAAAACAACAATAGGTTCCCATACCTAAAATGTTGCGCTGAATCATGACTTAGAAAAAATGATGGCTATACATTTGAAGTACATGTCTTTTTTTTTAGAAACAACCCAAATATAACACAAATTGCCTGTCATTTTTCTAAGAAAATATAGGATATAGGTCTTTAAGGCACATTCCCTTTGAGATTTATTAGCATTTTTATTACAAGCCTCCTGGTTCATAGAGTTGATCTGCTTTGGGCTAAAATGTGCCAAGAAAATCTTCCACAAGTACTCTCTTCCTGTGCTGAAAATTGATCAACACCATTTCAAATTACTGAAATGCAAAGAGGAGGTAGGAATAGGATACCAGACACAAGTTTGAGGTGTTTTAATTCTTACAAGATGATAATTATATATAAGTGATTTTTTTGAGAATTTTTAATTCTAAAGATGATTTTGTGACTTTGAAGAAGGTGTGTCAAACTGTCAGTGGAGATTGCCCTGCCTCAGTTTTATCTACATTAAAAGATAATGTTATATAAAAGTCATAGGGCACATGTAATTAAATACTTTATAACCAGGCACAAACCAGTGATGGCCAAAATAGCATAGAGGCATAGATCCCTGAAGTTCTTAGTGTTTTCGGGGCCCACTGGATATTCCTTCCATCACTGGCTGTCACTACCCAGCAGGAGATGGTGGTGGAGGAGGCTGCTGGAGGGCTCATGAGTACAGGCCAGAGATGTTGCTAACTATCCTGCTATGCACAGAAAACCTCAATGATCACAACAACAATATTATCCAACCCCAAATATGAACCATGCAGAGGAGGAGAAATTCCCACTTACAGAGAGTTAAGGAGGACTTAAGTACTCCTAGATGTGAAGCTGAGTGGGACTTCACCAAAGGATGTCACACTAGGGGTTGTTTGACAGAGGGTTTTCAATAAGGCAGAATATTGTTTTGAAACAAACATTTGTTGGAAGTTTTGATACACATAGGTATTTAATACCAGTTAATTTTTTCTGAGCTATTTTGTGATAGCTTTGTAAAACCTGTAATAGAAAAACTTGAAAATGAAATTCTAAAAATACTTTCATTTATTTATTTCTGATAAATGATTACACTGAATTATTTTAACTGGTTATTAAATTATTATACTTAACTGTTATAGTAATTAATAGTTTTAAAGTATCCCTACTCTAAAACTCATATGGACAAGTTCTAGGTCAGGCACTGTGGGACTCTGGAGGCACGATGCAGCATTTCAGAACATCAATTTCCCATCTACACAGTGCACAGCTGGAGAGGATTATACAGTGTTTGTGCCAAGATCCATCTGGAGAATCTTGAGTACTGAACCATAAGTTTGAAAAACTATTTAAGACTATTTTATAGGCCACTGAGGAGGGATCTTGAAAGTCATCGAATCCAACTTTTTCATTCTAACAGATGAGGAAACTAAAGCCCAGAGAAAAGGGATCCACATCAGAAGGTCATTAGTGTCAAAACCAAGATTAGAGCTTTGCACCTATTCCCCCAAGTTATGAACAAAAAAATATAAATACAGTAATCTGGTTTTTAAGTACAGTAAATTGGCTCTAAACAGAGAAACAAAACAATAAACCTACAATGGATACTTTAGGGACATGCAGGACATAAGAAGTTACCTCTAGTATCTTTGAAGAGCTGAAATGGATCTTGGGAGTTGGCTAGACAAACCAGAGTAAACTAGAATCACGTTGAAAAACATCAAACTAAAAATAAACATATGTTACATTGCCTACTTTGTTCTACAGAATTTCCAAACTCACTACTATATTCCAGGAAGTCCTCAGACTTACTTCAAGAGCCAAACGAAAGCAGAAAACACACTCACCTTGGAGGAGGTTTCCCTTTGGCCTCACACTGGATTACGATGTTCTCCCGAGGGTCAATGATATAATCTTTTGGAGACTGTTGAGTGATGGTTGGAGGTTGTACCACTTAATTATGGAAGAAAGAATAATGTAAAGAAATAAATCATTTAATATCACAATAGTAAACAGTTTTCCTATATCAAGATCACTTGCCTTAGATTAAATATACTTAAAATATTTCTACAATTTCTATGGTGGCAGCACCTACCTCAATAGATTTTCAATTAAAAGTCTCCTAAAAAAGCAAAGTTAAGCCATAACTTCTCTTTCAGTAACTTTGTGTACAACCACAAAGCCCATTTTCCCACACTAAAAAGCTGAGAAAATAATTATCAGCACACGCCTAACATTCAGATAATTTTTTTCTGATGTAACAATGAGAAATTCTTCTGATACCTTTGGTTCAAATAATGACTCTGAATGAACTTTAAATTATGAGGAATATTTGGTTCTTTTTTTTAGGAAACAGTTGCTGACTTACAGCTTATTAGTATGCTACTGTAAATTAATATATATTGGGAACACATGCATTTGAGAAGCTAATATTATTTTTTTTTGTCTTTTTTCTTTTTATCGGTACTGGGGATCGAACTCACGACTACCTGCTTGCAAGGCAGGTGCTTATGCCACTGAGCTAAATCCCCAGCCCCGAGAAGCTAATATTATAAAGATTGTCACTTAGATTAGAATAGAAGTGTGTTGGGAAGAAAGAAAAGTAGTCTTATTTGGAAAATTAATGTAATCAAACTTCTTGTTCTAGGAGACAATTTCATTCTTAAAAGTATCATCCAATCCTTTATCAGCAAATTGTAGAGGCTATTTTGACCTAGACCAATTGAACCTGTAGAAAGTCAGTATCTAAATCTTTGAGTTTCTCTAAGATCACCATGTCTTTCCTCTTACAAAATCAGAATTACTGCATGTTAGAACAGGAAGGGACTAGAAAAACCTTCTACTCTAACCTCTGTTTTTTTGCTTCTGAGACTAGCAAATGGTTTGACTCAGAAGACACAAAGCAGAAAAACCACCAAGCTCCCTTGACGAGCTCCTGCAGCAAGGCCCCTCTACCCTGGGCATCTCCAGGGAGAGCTGCTTATACAGACTAGTGGTTCTCAGCAGGAGGCGATTTGCCTCCATCTTTCCAAGGACTTTTGGCCACAGGTAGAAACAATTTAGACGGACACAGCTAGGATGGTGGTGGTCCTGGGATCTAGCAGAGAGAAGTCACAATGTTTCTCAACATCTTACAGTGTACAGAAGAGTCCTCCACAACACAGACTTATCTGGCCCCAGATGTGAGCAGTGCTGAAGCTGAGAAAGCGGGCACAGCCCACAACGTGAATGGTACATGGATCCCTGCAATGAAGTGGCCCTGCCCTTCTGTGCCTCCTGGAATCGTGCAAACTTTCCCAGGACCATTGGTTGGACCTGTGCTTTCCTTTCTTTCAATGCTGCATCCGACATTCTGGCTCACTATGTTTTTCATCTTCTGGATCTTCTCTGTCCTCTGCCCACACTGTGCTTTCCTTGCAAAACCTCTTCCACCTGCCAACTAAGCACTTCTCAAACCTCAGCAACTTCTCCCTGCTGTTGTCTCTCTTTGTTGAGCTTCATGGTTGCTGGGCTAAACTTATTGCCTCTGCATCCAAAGTCTTATAAATCTGCAAACATGGTTCTGTTCTTTTGCTCTGTCTCTTGTCTTACTGCTTCACTTGGCATCTTCCTAAATATCAAGGTAACAACTAATGTACTCAACGAAAATTAAACTCTTTTTGTCATCATTTACCATTCACCAATTACATGTGGAATACTGGATCAATTTCCCTTCCCTTTAGCAACATTCTGATCCATCCTAACCCTACAGCTAATCCACTCTTCCCAGCCTGAACATCATACAGTGTACAGCAAAGTCCTCCACAACACAGACTTATCAGACATGCTGAACTCTCCTTCTGATAGCAGTCCAGTCCAGTGGTTAAGAACGTGTCTATTTCTTACTAACTATGAGACTTTAAGGAAGTTTCTTAACTTCCATAAGCCCAGTTTCCTTCAAGGGAAAATGAGGTTTAAAAGAAGTATCTACATCCTAGGGTAGTGGGAGGGCTAATGCAGTAATGTGTGTAAATTCTTCGCACATGCCAACAGGATAATGGCTCAATGCTGTTTGCTATTTTTAAATTATGATCCTAGTAATTTTGATTTGGCTCAGCTTCACCTGTGAGAGACTGAACTTTGAGGCCCGGTGGTACAGAATTTGGGATAATGAAAGGAAGCCCGAGATTCCACATGCCTAAAAGAGTGAACATGACAGAGGGGAAGGTGATCCTGAAGAATGACTCGAATGAATGAATTGATCCAGTTCAATTCCTTGTGCATTTCTGGGAGTGACAGAGGTGCAAATTTGTGCTTTCAAATGCAGAGCTTCTCTTCATGCATCTGCAGCTGAGCTGGCTTTTATACCACTGCTAACTGCCAGGAGTTTACCATCTGGAGGTACCTTTCTGAACAGTGCTCAGGTCACATGGCAATTAGTAAATGCTTTGCAATAATAAGCAGTAATAAGAGATTTTACATAATTTTCCTCGTTAATCCAACATCAAAGGGAATTTTCAAATGCTGAAGACCTCCATTTTTTTTTTTTTGCTAGATGATAAATGCTGCCCAGCTGTCAGAAGCAGTAGAAATTTTGCTTGTAACAAGCTGCTCAGAAATGAAGTGAGTGGCAGCTGCTTGTCTCTTGCACACTTCAAGACAATATCCTAATTTGCTGGGTTATTCTACTGAGGGGTGCTAGAAACACTAATCTACACAGATCTGAAGGCTAACACAGGAAAAGACTGTACCCAGCTGCTGCCTTGAGAACCCACCTTCTAAAAGATAGCAAAAGATGCATTTTCATTTCAGCAAGCATTTAATAGCATTTAGTGCTGGATAATCACTGTCTCTATATTCTGTGAATTTTCTCATTGAGTTACATCAGATGCAAATAAAAACTTTTAAGTTAGTACAGCAACATATTCACAAAATGGTAATAATCAGATCTTCACAATTCATGCAGGTAGTATATTACATCTGTACCTTGGTACTTAAGTACAATGTTTAGCTACAGTAAACACACATGCTTTAAAAAGTCATTCATCACAAGGCATAGCACTGTGCACTTAATCACAGTATATTAAAAAAAAGCAGACACAGTCAAATTTTCACACTGCCTATTAATTTATAGAAAGACACTTACAGTCTTCAAGAAGTTTTGCTTTTTCCCCATCAATATCAGCAGGTGAGTGGGCAAACGGGATTAAAAAAAATCAGATGTTAGTAATGAAAACGTTAGAACCCTAAAGATAAAAGGGGTGTCTTTTCTATTTGATTTGACCTAAAAACCCATGTAGTGAAGGGTGAAGTTATGAAGTTCAAGAGAAGAACTTGAATTCATGGTTTTGTTTGCTGATGCAGTAGCTTCTCACATAAACATGTGGAAGAACAAAAGCAATGCTGTAGGATAAAAAACCTCTCCCAGGAATAAAAGTGGCTAATTCCACCCCATACATACTGTGCTGGACAAGTAATTATGTCTAATTTGAAAAATAGCTGAAATCTACAATTAATTCGAGTTGTCACATACTGTGTCGTGTCTGATCCTATTATGCCAGACATCACGAAGCACATGGTAACAATACATAACAATGGAGCACTGCAGCAATGACACTGTTCATCCAAACCAGGTCCAGCCCTGATTTCAGAATGGAATGTTTCTACAGTTACCATCTAAGTCCTCAACTTTTTACACTGATAGCGTATTTCTACGTTCAAATTCTTCAATCACCCGGGGATTGCTGGGTCCTACACCATAGGGCAGCTCATGCACTGAAGGAAGGGTGTGTGGGGTAGGGACAGGGGAGACATTACATTTGAATGCAATTCCAATCATTCTGCGGTGCAGCCTGTCATTACTACTTGCAAAGGTTAATGCAGGAGTGCCTGGGTTATCCGTGACTTTCTTTTCATCATGGCTATGCCTCTTCTCCATTAGCAGTGATAATTGAGTTAGCCGGAGGTGCCTGTTCCCCTCTGATGGTTAGATTGAGCAGTCAGATTAAGGGAGAATGTATTTAACATGGGGGAGAACAAAAGCATCTCTCTCAAGTGCTTTTCCTGCTTTGCTGTGTATCTGTTAGGGCAAATGCTTTCTTAGACGTTTCCACTCCAATGTGTTTAAGCAATTATATTTGTATTTTTAAATTGAAATTAAGGTAATTCAATGGGTATTTTTCAAAATAAAAGTATCACATTTTATAGTACTTTAAAAAACTATGGTAAAAGAAGTGAATAAAGTGTGGGGCAAACCACATTTCTTTCTAATGTCTTTCCACTGGCAGTTGCTACTTCTATGCAAGAATGGACATCCCAACAATCGAACAGCCCCAGGAAAGTGCTATCTTTCTTGCACCTTGGAAAGCTTGCCAAACAGATGTTCTATTCAGGAAGTTAAAGGATTTAAACAGGTCATGCAGATTAGGGATAAAGGATAAATCAATTCTGAAGTACAGTAATTGTCCAGATTCGAAAGGCTGCTTCCCCATTGCTGGAGAAGCGACCAGGTGGAGTCTATTATTATCTTTATTTTTCATAGACAGACCTTCCAGAAGAGGGAAAATATGGCAAATATGTTACTGCTGGGAAAAGAGTGGACTAAATGCCATAGCTACTGTTTGCTTCATTTCAGTGTTTTTGTAGATTACGTGTCTTAGGCTCACAAATTTTCATTTTGGACTTTATGTTCTTTAAACCAAAAAATAAGTACTCATCAGGCTTGTAGATAAGAAACTTTCCCTAGTTACTGAGTCATATTTAAGGTTCAAGATTAGAAAGTAAAACAAATGTGTCTTGTATGAATCAAGAGAGATGAAATACGATGATTAGGGGATTTGGCAAAGCAGAGGGTTGAAGAGACCATCTTCCAATCTCTCGAGGGCACTCTCAACACCTGAGGAAGGAAGTGGTGGGGTGATGGGAAGGGGAAGTTTGCACAGTCCCTGTAACGTGGCCCGAACGGCTTGCTTGCAGCACTACTTCGATGAGAGCCGCCTGCCAGGAAGGTCATGGCAGCTGCATGAGTCTATTTCTACATGGCACACAAAAGGCACCTGAGAGGGAAGAAGGAAAACGAAAGAAAGGGACAAAGCACTGACCATTTCAATGGTCATTTCTACTGTGAGAGTCTTTATAAACACCAGGTGCTAAAGGCAAAAGCCAAATTAATTTTGATTAGCTTTTCAGGGTCCACAGACACCTTCTCTGTCCACACTGTTTGGGGTGATGGTAAATGCTGGGAGGTTTTGGCTCCTGGGTCTAAGAGCTTTAAATCGTTAATACTTACGATCAAGAGGTACTTCCAGCGCACTAATCATCTGGCACAGGAAGAGAATCAGGGGCACTCTGCCTGCAGATAAGCACTTCTTTTTCGGCATTATTTTAAGCTGCATTAGCTTCACTCCTGCTGAGACCCACAAGCGGAATTTTCTTCTCTTCTTTTACAAAGATTTGTGTGCAATGTTTAAATAATTTTTCATGCAGGGAACTGAAAAAGGATGGAATAAGAATAATAATTATCATGTATTAAAAAGAAGGAAATGAAGAAAGGAAGTCTGCAGCACGGAAAATTGGCCTTGTATTATACATGAACTCTAAAAGGGAGCTCACTTTTAAATATTTAACTCTCAAGACTGGAATATGCATTTATTCATAAATCAGTTAAAATTGGCTTGAAAATATCTGTGCTGATGTCAACCAAGATCTGTCCACTTTCCCATCCTTATGGTATTTTCATTCTAAATATTTGCATCGGCAGGGCTCAGAGGCTAGTGTATCTTTCTAAATAGATCGGGAAACTTGGCTTGCAGGGCAGCTGGAAAGTGATCGTTTTGTGACTTTAAAGCAGAGGCCTAATGGGTTTTCCATTCTGCAGATCATCTCTGGGAAACCTGGGGCATTGTTGCAAATGACTGCAAACCCAAATGCTGACCTACTGGTGAACGCTGAGAATTTGAGCTATGCCATCTCTCCTCTGGACTAACAGCCACCTCCCGGCTGGGCACTGCCATCCAGACCTTCCTTAACACAGTCATTCTCTTCAACAGTGCCAATTGTTTTCTTCCTAAAGGATTTCAGGAAAACCATTTCCCATTTAGAAAGCACAGCTCATTACCAACATTCAGTTAGTTTTCAGCAACTTAGAACTACTATATTTTGTAACTGTAAGTACTATTGCAAAAATTGCTATAAATAGAATGATATCTTTTGTTTCCAAAGACTATCAAAATACTAGAGTGATGGGAAAATAATAGTAAAAGTGAGATATTTTGTGACAAACCTTACGAGTACAGTTAAGATGTATTCTGTGAATTATCTCAGGGTAAACTCTGCACTGCAAAGTGATGCTAGTGAGTATTCTTGGGGCAAACAGAAATGTTAAATGGCATTTAATGTGTCAACCGTGCCCTACAAGAAAATACAGGAAAACAAAACATACGTGCTATCAGTGTAAGTGATACTTGTGTATGGAACCGAGTTGTCATGTGTGAACACTGCCCCGAGTATGAGGCAAATCTTACTTATGTGGTAGACTTTTGTTTGTGCTTACACTGTAGTTCACATAGGTTTTTATTTTTGATGTTACCTCTTAGGTTTTGTAACCAAATAAAAGCTGATGCGAAAATGCTGGTATCTATTTTAAGCACTTGTTACATACTTGATATTGTATTTTATTGACATCTTATTTCCCTGCTAAATACATGTTATACAGTCTAGTAGGAAGCTCCTGACAAAACAGGAAGAGATGAGAGTGACAAGACTGCCACATAGGACAGGAAAGCTAAGCACTCGTGCTGTCAGTGTAAGCAACACATGTTCATGGAACGTGGAACTGCCGTGGCTGTGATAGTTGAAGCAAAGCTTACTTCTGTGTTACAGTTCTATTGGTATTTTCACTGTGGTTCATACAGGAATTTGATGTTATCCTTTAGATACTGAAGGAAGGTAGACAGCTGATGTGAAAATGCTGATGTTTATTCTAAATGCACAATACATATCAAGAACTTGATAATTTATTTTATTGATATTTTATATTCCTGTTAACTACATACTGTGTAATATAATAAGAATCTCCTGAAAAAACAGCAAGACTACTGAGATGTCAAGTATATCATACAAAAAGGCCAGGAAAGCAAAAGACGTGTCGACAGTGTAAGTGATGCATGTGTATGGAACACGCTCTTGTCATGTGTGCACACTGCCTTAGGTGTGATAACTGAAGTAAATATTTTTTTTTATGGTGCTATTGATATTTTCACTGTAGTTTATATGGGAATTTATTTCTGATGTTCTTTTTCATACTCTGTACAAAAACCAGTTGATGTTGAAAGCTTTGATGTTTTTTAAGAACACTCAAATATTAAAAACTCATATTTTGTGACTTTTGCCTGTTGACATAATAAAACTCATAAAATTACAATTAATAGTTCATCAACAGAAATATTCTGAAGAATAAATGTGAATTTGACAGTTCTACATTTACACATCTTGGTGACAAAATTAGTCTTCTGCTCAAGTTAATTGACCATCGTAATTTTTTCAGAGTACACATAGAATAAACTATTGTGTAAGACATTACTGCATTTTATAAAGATAGGATTAATTTTTTAAGAAAACCAACAGAGCACTGACATGAGTAAATAGATTTCCACATTAGTAGAGCGTCGTGAACTACAACAGAAACTCTGCTCTTTCCTCAAAAGTTGGAAGTTTACTGCACCATTAGCCAGAGAATCATCTCTCTCATGGGCTCTGTCAGTGGAGGACAAAGTCCATCCTCTGAATCTGCTCATGGAAAATCACCCACTCGTAAGAATGCCCTCATAGGTGAAAATCCAAATGCTCAAGGAGAGCATTAAGTCCCCAGCACTCAATCACACTGCAAATCAAATATAGCTACAGAAAACTGAGCCTTCTCTCTGTAAGAATAATGTGCCCTGACTGTCTTACAAAGAAAACCACTGATTTGTACTCTGAGTATTGATGTCAATGTCCTGCACCTCCCTCAGCCCCCCCAGGAACCTGTCTGCCTTGTACTTCCCATTGGAAAACAATGGCCATTTTCCCTTGAGTGAGAATCATGAACTAAAACTAAACTACTTATTTACTTATACTAAAGTGAATACAATCTAAATACGAAATAGCACATCATTTTTGGTGGAGACTAAGGAGTATGTTAATTTTCAATTTATAAAATAAATTAGTCATTGACATTTTAAATGAGACAAACTGTATATTCATCTTCTGATAATAAATCACCCACAGACAGATATTCTATATAGGTATCGATCACCTTGAGGAAGCCAGGACTCATCCCCTACAGGAAGGACTCCTGTTCTGTACTCATGCCCACTTGCTATGTGATTTGCTTTCCCATTTGATCCTGATTTAATTAATGTTACCTGAGTGGTTATACTTGTAATCTTATTGGTTGACCACAGTTTTGTCCCGCCTCATGTTCACCTTGCAGTTTCCCATTTTCCCCATGATCTGCCTCACCTCATAGTTTTGCTCTATAAAGTCCCTAGAAAAGGCACGGTTGGGGCTTGGGGTTTAGCACAGTGCACAAGTGCCTGCTTGGCAAGCATAAGGTCAAGAGTTCGATCCCTGGTACAACAAAGAAAGAAAGACAGAGAAGAAAAAGAAAAAGAAAAGGAAAAGAAAAAAAAAAAGACAAGGCAGAGTCTTTGGCAACCCACTTAAGGACCCCTTTTGTCTCTCTCAGACAGAAGCTTTCTTTCCCCCAATAAATATATTCTGCTCTCTAAAAAAATCACCTACATTTTATTTGACTATTTTATTTTTTGCAGTAGTACAGATTGAATTGAGGGGGCTTGAGCATGTTAGGCAAGTATGGTACCACTGAATTATACTCATTGCCCTAGCCTATTTAAAATCATATATGTTATTAAAATGATGAAGAATAAGAATAAACAGTGGAGCCCTTTAATATTCTGCTTCATTTCACTCCATTAAAAGTGATTTTCTTATGTTCTCTGTAATAGAGGCTGTGAAACAGAAAAAAATCCTGTCTTCAAGTTTCACCACCAGATAAGAAATGTAAGGTTCTGTTACTTCATTTTTTTCAAATTTATATTGAATCAGAGAACATTATTGACTACACATTTCAAAAGAAGAACCTAAAGTTTTCACAAAAGATTCACACCAAACCAGAGCAAAGCAGCTGGCCTGTTGCTTAGGAAGGCTTGTTATTAGAAAGAAAACACAACCTTTGTCTATCAAGTACATGATGAAATTAGTTTTAATTAAAAAATATAGACAGCCTTCCAGCAGAACTGGAAGGTCAAACATTATTTACCATTTCTTTCTGTGCTGACTGTGCTTTTCAGATCCAGTATGGGTGCTTCAGATGCCAGTTGCTCAGATAACATTATCTACATCTGCAAGCCAGGAAGCAGATATGCTTATTTGCTGGACACCCTAATTATTGCTCTGGTGGACCATCAGTAGCTGGCCTCATTGACTGCATAGCTAAGTGGGTGTGACATTATCCTGACTGTGAAAGCTGTTGTTTAGCAGCCAACTCAGTGATAGCCACTTTTAGATTTTAAGCATTTACCATTTTTAAGTACATGAATGGCCATCCTGGCTTATGCTATGGTTTTCAATCACAGATCTGAGTCTGAGACAGTGGAGGGGAAACTGAGGGTCTGATCCAAATAAATCTCACCATAGCATTCCTATGATGAATCTGGTACCTAACTTGAAACAGTACCTAAGGAAAGGTGAACAGTTAACAGGTATTTTTTAAGGACAATAGATGATTAGAAAAATCTTGATAACAGCTCAAAACCTTCATTCCTCAAAGCAATGTAATTGATTATATTATTGAAGCCTCCAGAAAACAGGACAGCAGATATAATACTCATTTAAGTAGAACAAGAAAAAAGCTGATTCTTCCATGCCTTAAGTTATCTCATGCTCCTTAAACTGTAAAAAGTAAGCTCTGTTACCCTGTTTACTGATACTTACTTTGCAAGTAGCCAATAGGCAAACAGAATTACCAAGTTTAGTCACTTATACTAAAAAATAGATTCTGAATTCTACAGAAAGTTTTTTTGTTGTTTTCTTGAGACAGGATCTTGCTATGTAGTTCAAGCTGGCCTTGAACTCACGATGTAGCCCATGCTGGCCTCAAACTCGCAGTGATCCTCTTGCCTCAGTCTCCTGAGTGCCCATATTACCAACATGCACTACCACACCAGGATCTACAGCACTGCTCACAGCATGGCTCTTTACACCTATATAAACAGATTTCCCTGAAATTATACCACATTCTGGCCCTGGACTTTTAATGAAAAGGAGTCATACTTCAGGAAATTAGTTTTAAAAATAGAAAATATATGCACATGGTCCAAAGTTCATAAGGCGAAAAGGCCATCTAATGCAAAGTAAACAACCAGCAGCCCAGTTTCTCCCTTAGAAGGTCACCACTATTACAAAGTTCTGTGATCTCTTCTAGAGCTCTCATGAATAAACATAAAAATATACTAAATAATATTTTAAGACTGTTTTGTATTTAGAAAGTTATGAAAAACTTTTTGAACATTAAATTTAGATCATTAGAAACACCAAAGACTTTAATGCAACTTAGTTTCCCACAACACATAAAATTACCCCAAGATGCTGGCTTTTACTTAGCACAGCAATGACATGAGACCAAATAGCCTAATATGAGACAATGGTGTGAGTGAGAGATCTAAGACAAAAGACAGAACATGGTATATGTGACACCAATCACAGCCTGCCCAGGGATGGCATCTATAACTACCCAGTCAGTTACCTGAGGATGGTTATCAGGACCAGCTTCAGAGGCGAAAAGGATGCTGGGAGTAGAGAAAAAAAACTGGCTCTTCAAACAGAAAGGGGTTCTTCTGGATCCCACCTCTTATCTGTTTGTACAGCACAAATAGATAAGCAGGAGGGAGAGACTGCTCCTTGCTGAAGGGCTGTGATGCTCACAGTCCTGCATTGGCCCGCCACTGTGAGCAAGGCTAACACAAACAGAGAGGGCATCTGAACAAAGGCAGGCGGCTGTGGAGA